CGATGACGAGCTGACGGAAAACAGCCACGCGCCGTCGGATAAGCATTTCGGACTGCGCCTTGGTTCGCAGCCTTGCCTTACCCGACAGCGCGTCACTCAGCCAGCGGTGCACCGTCACCGAGTCTGTCCGGAGCGTCAGGCGACGGAAGCCCCATGCTACCGCCAGGTTGACACCGTTGAGAGCGGCATCCAGTTCTGAGATATTGATGTGCACGTCCCTCTCCGATTCGGCACGCAGCCAGGACGCGTCCTCGATGATGGCGCCCGTGTCAGGGTCAGTGAGCACGACACCGCGGGCGATGGAGCTGGCGTCGGTCCACACCACGACGCTCGTCCCTGTCACACACCACTGGCCGCGTGCCGGGTCACATGCTCGAAACCGCCGTGACACCTCATCCACCTCACGTTGTAGTTCCTCGCTGACGATCGGAGTGTCCCAGTCCGGGCTGAGGCGGTTGGCAGTCCGCTTCATCCATGCAGCGGCCGGCCGCAGCCAGCCTGCGACCGGCACATGAGATGTCAGCTGGCCGGCCCACGCGAAGACAGATCGCCGCGTTAGCACGGGTGGAGCCTGCGTTGGTGACTCCCCGTCCCTACTCCACTGGAGTGCCGGCCCGTCGCTCTCGGCGACACGAAGGCCCAGCATACGTGCACCGGTCGCGACCCGCTCCGGCGGCTTGCATGTGAGCCCGAATCGAGCGAAGTGCTCGGCAACCTCATCAGCCGAGACCACCGCTTCGTTGACCAGCAGATCATCGGCGTAAGGCAGCACTGCCTCTGCCAACCCGGGGCTCTGTGCGAGCACCTTCCTGACCACAGCCTTCATGATCAGAGGCGCGATACTGAGCCCAAAGCCGACCCTGGTCAGGCAGTACCGCCGCCCTTGCACGATGACTGTCTGGTACGGCCACAGGGCCGGGTCCACACGAAGCTGAAGAAAAGCTTTCTTCAGATCCAGGACAGCGACCCGGCGTCCGTGACGTCGCCACCTTCGCAGCTCTTCCACGCAGACGTCAGCGTCGGCTGTGTGACGTGTCAGGTGTTGATTGAGTTCCCGATAATCTAACACCGGCCGCACCTTGTCCTTCGCTGCCTGAGTAACCACCATCAACGGGATCAATCCCTGTGCGGGACCGTACATCGTCTCATCGTATTCGCGCAGCCAGCCCTCACTAATCCACAGCGCCAGCTCTGCATCGAATTTTTCACGCGCACAACTCGGCACACCGTACTGAGCTATCGAGTTTCCAAGCGGGGGCGGAGCCACGCCACCGGCCCATTTCCAACGGACTGTCCACACATCATCGAACACAGCCGTGAAGTCAGTCTCGTCAATCCTTAGCTCCGGCTCCGTGTCGACCGCTCGACACACCTCCCGCTCCGGCGGGACCTCACGCTGCACCACAGCAGCCGTGTCGATCGCTCGACACACCTCCCGCTCCGGCGGGACCTCACGCTGCACCACAGCAGCCGTGTCAACCGCTCGACACACCTCCCGCTCCGGCGGGGCCTCACGCTGCACCACAGCAGCCGTGTCGACCGCTCGACACACCTCCCGCTCCGGCGGGACCTCACACTGCACCACAGCAGCCGTGTCGACCGCACGACACACCTCCCGCTCCGGCGGGGCCTCACGCTGCACCACAGCAGCCGTGTCGACGCTCGCAACTGGGTTGTCGCTCCCGAAGCGAACGGATCCTCCACTTACACTCACGCCCTGCAGGGCGTCAATGCCGGTCATGCCCAGCAACACGTCTACGCCCAGCAACCGGGCCGGTACGACGACCGCCCGCACACTCACTGTCGCCCCGCGCACTCCAAGGCTGACCACAGCCCGCCCACAGCACAGCACCGGGCTGTCGTTGACAGCGACCAAGCTGGCGTCACTCCGCTCCCAGCAGGACACCATGCCCTTCCACACCACTGTCTCGCTGCACCCTGTGTCGACGAGTGCTCGGCACTTGCGCCCATTTACATTGATGTCGATGATGGGGGCTCTTGGGTCACTGCGGCAGCTGGCGACGGCGGAGCCCGTGGCGCTGATGTAGCGCCGTCGCCGTGCCCGTTTGGGCAGAGCCGGGCGATGTGGCCTACCTGGTTACAGGTCCAACACCGCAGTGGTGGACGGCGACCCGTCCCTCTGGCTCCCCGCTGCTGCTGTACATATGATGGCGGCGGCTGGACGACAGCCACCGATGCAGTCGCTCTCTCCCTGGCCGCCATCGCCAACGTTGACCTAGCGACGGCGACGGCTCGCTCCAAGGAGAGAGTTTCATCTCCAGCACTGTTACGTACTGTTAGCCGCACCTCCGGCGGCAGACCTTGCAGGAAGTGCGTCGTCATCACTTCGTTGGACACTGAACCTATGAGGGATATCAGCCGCTTGACTGATCCCAGGTAGGCATCCACAGACTCGCCCGGTTGTAGACGTCGGTGATACAGCTCATACATAGCCGCGTCGGGTCCCAATGCAAATGCACGATGCAGTTTTTGGCGGACGATTGCAGCATCCCGCTGCTCGGTGGAGGAGAGGGTGGCCCACACCTCGTACGCCTGGTCCCTCAGGCGTGTGGGTATGACAGCGGCCAGTGACACACGACGCAGGGCACACAGCTGTGTCGCCTGCTCCAGCCATCTGACGACGTCACCGCTGCCGTCGAACTCCGGTATTGCCCGCAGATCGAATGCAGGCGCAGGAAACTCTGGTTCCATGGTATTGGTACCAGCTACCGGTGCACCACTGCCCTCTTCTACGTCAGACATAATCACAACACTTAGTCGAGAAGGCCGAAATAGCTTGTCGTACTGACTTAAAAGTCACCGTCCAGCACAAGAAGAAGATCTATTCTGCTCTCCTCTACACCTTCCAGCCAACTAAACTCACAATCCCCCTCCTGGCACATCCACAGCTCGCAGACACACATCTCACATTCATCCTTGCGTCACGCTACATATTCCTTATTCCTAATTCTGTAAGATTCATTAGGACGGTGAGTCCCACGGCCACACACACAGCGGAAGGCCACAGTCATTTACGTGGCCCCGCTGGAACCCGGCCATGACCCGCCTTGTGATACACCCAGAGACGCCAGTACAACTACTAACCGGAGATTGACTTTATTTCAGGTAAATTATGGCTTTATAGTTAAAAAATTAGCTGAAGACTTAATTCTTTATTATGTATTTCTTTATTTTATCTCCTAAAATGACCTATGACCTTACTTCAGGTACGAAGTGACTTTATTACGGAGCGAGCGAAGCGAGCGTACATAGTCTTTCCTTAGATTAACGGAAATTTCTGAGTATGAGCGGCCGGCCGGCCGTGCGGACGCTTTTGCGAGGCTTATATCTCAGCAACCACTTGACCGATTTACACGCGGTAATTTTTGTAGGGTAGCTTCATTCCTTCTACCAAGTATTGGACTATTCCCGATGCATGTGGGTGACCCCTTATGCACGTGCCACGTGCAAAACGAAGAGGTGTCAGTTTTGTAATTGTTGCAATATCTCGGTAACTACTTGGCCGATTGCGCTGAAAGTTGGCATGTAGGTAGGCACCCACTAGGCACTGCATATCCATGTGCCAGAGTTGGGGTGCTGCTGCACGTGCGCACGTGCAGGGGTCGTTTCCAGATCTCGAGAACGGCTCGACCGATTGCGTTCAAATTTGGTACACAGTTAGGGACCGGTTAGTAGGGTGCCGTGCACAAGTCAGTTGGGATCCATTTTGCACGTGCGCACGTGCAGGGTGCCGCTTCCAGATCTCGAGAACGGCTGGGCCGATTGTGCCCAAATTTGGCACATCGCTAGAGACCGGTTAGTAGGGTGCGGTGCACAAGTCAGTTGGAGGTACCCCTCGCAATTTCGCACGTGCAAGGCCCACCCTCTCGCTCGCTCCGTTAGTCGCCCCGAAAGGCGTTATACTGGTTTCATGACTTCAAAATGACTTTATTTCATCTTCATTACCAGTCTTGGCGCCATACTGATCAATGATCACACTGAGGCCATGCGATGTGTTAGTGATGTGCAACTTCAGACAGACGTGCACCCGCGACCCCGTGCCGTCCGCCGGCCGGCGCCTCCCTATGGCCCCCTCCCGCAGAGACATGACACCGCGGGTCAGGTGATCGTTGTCGGGTGCTGGCTGGCGAGCCGGCGGCGGCGAGGGCGCGGGAGTCGGACCGGAGGGGGGGGGGGGGGGGGGCAGCTCTGTGTGTGGGGCAGTCGGAGCACTCTTGGAATTATCAGTTACACATCAGCAACACGCTTACCTTTGTCGACAAGCCTAAGGAGAAGAAACCTTCCCAATCTTCTCACAAACCTTCCCAATCTTCTCACTACGCCGCCACTAATACATTATCTTCATAACAGGTCCACTGTCTCCTTTTTATAGGCCTGCCTGTCTGTCTGTGCTTGTCTTTCAGTACGAGATCATTGATCTGACCCTACACAAGACACCGATCGACAGAGGGCACGAAAAGAGTTGGGACCGAGCTGCGCCGAAAATCAGTCTCCCGAGAATCCCAGCTACCAGCCAGGCTCTCTTACCACCAATCGACGGGCACGTGCTAATTTTGCCATTGTGTCTCGGCGAGCTCTCTGCTATAGCCCGCTCATGCTTAAAACATACATCTGTACACGTTTTAAGCTCTAACGATATTATCCTCTGTATAATCAACATATTTACTGAATGTTCCGTACCTTTATACCTTACCGATTAAAGTGCTTAAATGATAAAAATGATGAAAACCGATAAAAATGATACACGTATAGAAACATGGTACTGTCGTTGCCAGTCAACTTTATGGGTTGGAGTGTATCGATCAGTCTTGATTGCTTCAGCTGGCACACTGGTTCCCAAAAGGTTGTTTTGTTTCTTTTAGTCATTTTAGGTCATGCACCACCACCATACGCCGCTTAATACTAGCCATCCGCGTCCCAAAACATATCACGGCAAAAGCCCGCCCGTGCCCAGAATCGAACCCACGTCGGCCACTTACTGAGCACGTGCACGCGGAAGCTGCAAAGGGCGCTATTCTCGGCGTCATCCTTGGCGATGTAGACGATGTCGTGAGAGCCCCAGGAGAACAGCTGACCAGGAGCGTGGTCTGCGGAGAACAGAGCACGACAGCACGTCAGACACCTTCAACTTTTTCGATGATTATATTTTTAATCGATATTCACAAGGTTAGATAATTATGAACGCATTTCCAGCACTTCTTGAACCATTTCCAGTGATGGCTGTTGAGAACAATATTTATCCCTCATGTGGTGGGGCAGAACAAACTTTCAGGTAATTCCTCTAGAGCACTGTAAACTTAAACAAACTTCAAAACAATGATGATATTTGGATGAAATGAGCGCTGTTTTTCATCCGTCTTCAAACAAGCACTGCAAGCGTCATAAATTTCCCTGCCCTCCCGCTGCGAGTTTGAACCCTTCGTAGCCGCAGAGTACCGATGTTTATCTACTTACCATTGATCTCAACAACTGACATCAGCTTGTCATCATCACTGAACCTCGGCTCGTCCCAGCGCACAATGGTCGAGCCGTTGGAGGCTTGGATCCAAAGGTCACCCGGGCAGAAATCAACCCTGGGCGGCGTCTGCGAAAGGTGAGAAGAGGTCAAAGGTCAGATGAGAGGTTAGGTCATCAGAGGTCAGAGATAAGGTCATTAGAGGTCAGAGGTCAGGTCAGGTTTCCTTAGGTCAGAGGTCAAGTCAGAGGTAGGGCCGCCCATCATAGGTCAGAGGTCGTGTTATCAGAGGTCAGGTCATCACGGGTAAAAGGTCAGAGCAGCAAGGCAAATTCAGGTTGCTGGGTTGTTTATAAACATACCAAGATATAGAATATCTATTACACCTCGTCTGTTCACAGGTCAACAAAGTAAGCAATTAACTGGCTTGCTGGCATAATTCTATCTATAACTTTGTACTATTTCAAATATCACAGACCAGTCAAATCCCGTGCACACGTGTCCATTGCGTACTCCAGCCCGTGTCATGTGAAAGCTCCTTTATTCGGGAGCGCCTGCTCACCTTATCCCTGGCCCGTGTGGTGCAGTCGCCAGTGTATCCTGGAGCACAGATCAGCTGTCCACAGCTGGAGGGGCCCTCGCGCTCCACTGTGCCCATGAGCTGGTGGTAGCCGCTCCAGCGGAGAAGGAGACCGTCGTACAGTACTGGTGCCTTACGGCACGACTCCAACTAGGGGAAGGGAGAAGCGGTTAGAAATATACATACAGCGGATTCGTATTATTATGCATACCATTAGCATATATTGTAAATAACGAGCCATACACATGTTCAGAAATCAGAATGTACGTGCATATTGTATATTCTAAACAATCATGATGATCTCGTTTGATTTTTGGTTTCCTAAATCCATGCGAGATGTATATACGAGTATAATTGCATTACACCTTTTTCAGTTGGCTTTCTCTGCATCGATTATAATGAAGATCGCAAGTCTATGGTGCGTGCATTGGTCGTCCTGGCCCCTGACTGACCAATATCACTGTGTATTGCGATAATGGCAAACCTCATACTTGTGAAAACTAATCCCTTCTCTATCCTCGTTTCTAACACCGCTCCTGTCTAACTCACCTGTTTGGGGATTTCTGTCCTGATATCCAGCATGCGGGACCACATGTTCACTCGGGCCAGCTTGCCCTTGAAGCCAGACTTGGCCATCTGAGTGCCGTCTTCGGCCAGGGGAGCGCCCAGGGTGACGTAACCGCTGAAAAGAAAAGAGGTTCAGAGTGACGTCACGATTAATAAATCGATGGTAAATTGTTCATATTTGGTGGCAAAGATCAAATCACTGACGATTATATGTCAATGAACCATTGCATAAGTCAGTAGTTTAATTTCGCATCATCTTTTCCTCGATAATTTTTGAAATTGCAATAAATGTTCCCTGCAAGAGCACTTCGTAAAATTTTGTCACAGTGCATTCATCAGCATTCCACTCAGGTAGATCATCGAATCACTCGACAGCAAACCGAAACGAGTCCCAAACATCTCTGCGAGCACGCAGTTCCAGCATCCCCAGCCCACTTACAACGCCGGCAGCGTCTTGTTGACTCCGTAGTCGTTACGTTTTCCAATGACCACCAGATCAGAGACTAGTTGAACAGCACCCGATGACTCCCACGAGAGCACAATATGATGCCATTGACGGTCATTAACAGGGATCTGAGGGTTGAAGTCCAGGAAGACGGCATCCTCGTCCTCGAAGAGGTCTAGAAGCACGCCATGACTGCGCATCTGGACAATCACGCGACGGTCGGAGGGCACGTGCAGGGAGCTGTGGGGGAGAGGGGAAACAGAGTCAGTGTCAAAGGTCACCAGAGGCAACCGATGGGAGCAAATGTCAACCCTAAAACTTCACAAAAACGCTCAGTCTACGAGCTTGTAGAAAGGCCACGATAAAGAAATGCAGCCGAAGTAACAATGGTTCCACTTTCGTAAAACATACCGAAGCACGCTACGTTAATTCATCATTCAGCTCTTTTCGCTTATAAGGCATTCTTCTACGAATGCAAGAACTGGGAAAAGTTGTTAAAATTTATCATAAGCAATGACAATAACTACTAACTAGCTAGTAGTTATACTAGGTAAATAAACTGCTTAACTACTAAATATAAAATATAACTAATAACTAGCTATAATGATAGTTATTGCTATCTGCGAATGTACCCACTTTCCTGACACCGGTTCATCATCGCCTACCTGACGTCGTAGAGTGTGAAGAACGTTCCAATGTCCAACCGGGCGCTGAACTGCACCCACAGACCGATGGACATGCGGGAGGCCTTCTGCATGTCGAACGGCGCGTACAGAGACGCAGACGCAGACTTTGAGTCGTCGTTAAAATACAGATCGTAGTCGACCGTGATGCCTGGAGATGGGAGGTCGGATGGTTAAAATGATACACGGACATCCGGGTTTGTTAAGACAATGTTTTTCTAACGACCGATGCTTTTAATTGATTTTCAATTGATTTGCAGACACAGCAACCCCTTAACTTAAAGTGAAATAAAACATATGTTGTTGAGTGCGCTCACGAGAAACATCTTCATTTTACAATATCATAAAACAGAAAGTGACATGTTCCATCTGTTTTCTTCTATTATTATTCTGCTTTTCCTCTCTCTCCCTCCCCTCCTCTCTCCATTTCTCTCTCTCTCTCTCTCCCTCCTCTCTCTCTCTCTCTCTCTCTCCCTCTCTCCCTCCCTCCCTCCTCTCTCTCTCTCCCTCCTCTCTCTCTCGCTTTCTCTCTCTCTCCCTTCCCTCTCCTTCCCTCCCTCCCCCTCCCTCCCCACTCACTCTTCCTGCAGTCCTCTCCGGTGAGATTGAACGGACAGCGGCAGTAATGTCCGTCCACCAGATCAACACAGGTAGCCCCCGTCGGGCAGCTGCCCGCAGTGCAGCGCGGAATGGCAGTCTCACAGTTCATCCCAGTGTAACCAGGGGCGCACGTGCACTGGTAGCCGAGACCGTTATCCACGCAAGTGGCGCCGTTCTGGCAGAGCTGAGGAAGGGAGAGACAGGGTTAGGGCATGGGTTTGGTGTTATGAGGTCAGTTTGGCTTTTTTTTTTGTATGCATTTGAGATGAGTGTGATTGCAAGATTGTTTTGCATCTGGGTACCTAAATTAATGTTCAGAGTATGTGTAGTGTAGGAACATTAAGTTGGCCCTTATGTGTCTGTTGTCCTTGCATTGGATCATTACCGCCATGGCCTGCACAAGTAAATTAAAATATCACTCGCTTCCGCAACACTTGCAGCATAACAACGCATTGCAACAGCTTGCAGAAGCTTCCGAACTTCATAAATAATATAACATAAACATTACATTGGTAAAGTCCCGACTTTTGTAGTCTGCTTGACCACATGTACTGAGAGCGATCGAACAAATTAGCTTACATCGACAGCGTAGATGACTAAAATAGATGGCCTCTAAAATCATACGAAGACGACGGAGGGGGAGGGGGTGGGGTGGGGGGGATGCAAGCGAGGGACTTACCCCTGCCTCGCAGGCATCCAGTTCATGTTGGCAGCCGACTCCCAGATAATCATCGGGGCAGCTGCAGTTCAGACCCGAGCCGTAATCCCTGCGAGAGAATACGACACGGGACGTAAACATCGCAGCGTTGCGTAACGCTAGCAGCGCAACGATAAGTTACGTCGCAGAGCCTGAAAGTTGTAATATCTTAACTACGTAAATGGCTCTCGAAAACTCTGGCGAAACGCAGAGGCCGACTTAATTACGCATCAGAAGATAGGTTTATGAATATCTGTTGCTTTTATTTTCATCTAAAAGCTGTTGGCAATAACAGAAAACATTCTTAATTCACAATCAGAAGCATGAAGTAACCGAGAGAGCAGTCCACATTCAAGTCCCGTATGCATTACAACACGCCTAGCACATCAGCCTGAACATATTCATGAGTCTTATGCAGCGCACTGCATGCAATCAGAGAAGAATGCTGATTTAGGTCATGGGTATTCTGGGTCTAGAACCTGGGTCCTGAATAGTCTGAGACCTGGGTAATCAGCCCCTGGGACCTGGATAGTCTGAGACCTGGGTAGTCTGGACTCTGGGTAGTCTGGGTCGTGGTAGTCTGGGACCTAGGAAATCTGGGGTCCACCTGGGTAGGGACATGTTTATAGTCTGAGACCTGGGTAGTCTGGGACCTAGGTAGTCTGGGCCGTGGATAGTCTGAGACCTGGGTAGTCTGGGCCGTGGGTAGTCTGGGTCGCGGGTAGTCTGATGCGACTGTAGTCTGTCACTGACCTGCAGAACCCTCCGTTCATACACGGTGATCCGACGCATCGCTCCGGGGTGACCTCACATCGCGAGCCATCCGTGCCAGAGGGACACGCGCAGAAGAAGCCCTGGGGGTGAGCGGGAGGGTGCTCAGTGGTTAGCGAACACTGGTAGTGTAACACGAGCGGTCAGCGAAGATGGAATAGTACGACCCGCCCGTGGAACGAGGGGGGGGGGGGGGGTGGGAGAAGAACGTATGATATTACATTTATTAAACGTGCATACTAAAATAGTTTTAATTTCTATGTGGTAAAAAATCGTTGCATTGCCCTGGAAGGCTTATTGTTAACACCCATGGGTCAAAGTATTTATGATTGGTGGTGAACATCAATTGGTGACTGGGTGAACAGGGTGCTTTGGTATGCAAACAGAACGAAGAAATAAAAAACATAAAAAATACAATAAAGATACAGAAGAGGTCGTACAGCTAAAAAAAAATCAATTGGCTTGTCAGAGGCCAGATAATTAATTTGCGCCTTGGCCATCCAAAAACAAACATTTTAGTAGCCACAATGTTGAACTCCATTAATCATACCAGCTGTTGCGTTTGAAAATACCGGTTCATTCAGGCTCGGTGACAAACACGTTACTCAAGATTGGGTCATAGTTACAGTCAGCACTGATACGATTGCCCTTAGCCGGCCACATGGCATGAACAGGTTCAAGGTTCGGCTCGAAAACTACACGGTACATACCCTGCATGTCCCCAACGTTTTGCAGCCGCTATTATAAGGGCTTACTGATAATCCACGGTTACACAGCACAATCCGCGGTTACACATCGCTATCAGGCCCTCCCACAACGCCAGACGGCAAAGGCCAGCGTGTGCGATAACTTGGCGTCGCTCCCCTCATTTCCCCGCACGCTTCAGGGCTATCGCCTGACTGCCCGCCCCCGCCCCACGCTCCGGTGGATTCAAAGGGCGATGGGGCGAGGTTTGGAGGCAGCTGCTCCTCCCTCAGCGCCCGAAAGTGACGAAATCTTGCCCTTTTCTCGCATACAAAGGAAACTGAACATTTGTTATTTGGTAAGCTTGTTTTAAACTGCACAGCATTGCACAAAAAAGCGAACTCAAAGTTTTTGTTACCTAATTGGCATATTTTTGATGTTATAGTGTACGGTTCTCCGGCGTCTCAAACCACTTTTATGACTCCACCAATGCCCCCCCCCCTCTCTCTCTCTCTCTCTCTCTCCCGTCCTCTCCTTCCTCTCTCTCTCTCTCTCTCTCTCTCTCTCTCTCTCTCTCTCTCTCTCTCTCTCTCTCTCTCTCTCTCTCTCTCTCTCTCCTTCCCTCCCTCCCTCCCTCCCTCCCTCCCTTCCCCTCCTCTCTCTCTGACTCACCTGGAATAGATCAATACAGTTGGCCTCATTGAGGCACGGGGCGCTCTCACAGCTGCCAATGTCCGTCTCGCAACGTTTTCCCGTCCATCCCGGGCGGCAGGAACAGGTGAAATCGTCCAGGCCGTCCGTACACACGGCTTCGTTCAGACACGGGTTCGAGGCGCATTCGTCCTTGTTAGTCTGTGGGGCGGGGGTATGTCAGTAATGGTCATAGCATATCACTCAGCTGTTGGCGTTCGCTCATCAATAAAACTGCATATTTTAGACAGCATTGTCATAAATTAACTTAAGTTTTCCTATAGGCAGAACCTGTCAAGTTATGCTCATGAGGATAAGTAAGTTATTTCTCGGAATCATTTATGATTTTTTTATTCATTGCTTCGACCCTCCCTAAATCGGTGGTTCCTTTTAGATAAAATGTTAGCTAGATTGACTACTAACCACTTATTATAGACGACGACGAGCGGCTAGCGCCTCCATTCCTTCCCTCATTCCATTCCATTCCATTCCATTCCATTAAATATCTCACCTCACACAACCTCCCCGAGTACCCGACACGACATTCGCACTGGAACGTGTTGTCCAAGTCGACACATCGTTCCGTGCCCTGGGGACTGCATGGACTCGAGGTGCACTCGTCGATTTCGGCCTCGCACTGCAGACCGACGAAGCCAGGTCGGCACGAGCAGGTAAATCCTGACGGAGAGGGAAGTGGGTCAGTAAAAATAGCGGAAAAGTGCAGAAACAATAGCAGAAAATTGATATTACTGCGTAACTATAGTAGCAGTAACGTAACAGCACAGAAGCAATTGAGTAATGGGGTATTACAGCACAGTTACGGTAACCGTTATGGATCAGTATAGGGGTATTCATCCGATAGGGGCGTTCAATAAATAAATAGTCGATTGTTTTTATTTATGACGAGCAAATTACGTAAAATTTCCCCACGAAAATTTGTCAATCTAGATACACGAAACTCATAAAGACATGGTGATTCTCCTCAGTCTATTAATCTCACCGTCCTAGTCTTACTAACGTGTCATCGTCCCCCTCACACCATCTCACCGTCCCTCTCACCCTCTCACACCATCTCACCGTCCCTCTTACCCTCTCGGTTCCACTCTCTCACCACTATCACCCTCCCGCTCTCACCCTCTCACCCCGCCGCTCACCATCCTGTTCATCCTTGCAGGTGCCGCCGTTCTGACACGGCTCACTGGCGCAGTCGTCGATAGTGTGCTGACACTGTTTACCGGTGAAGCCAGGCGCGCAGTTGCAGCTGAATCCATCCACCTCATCCATACAGGTACTGCCCGCGGCACAGGGCTCCGAGCGACAGTCGTCCACGTTGATGTCGCAAGAGGCGCCTGAAACAAGCAGTCAGTCGTGTTTTATTTGGTTATCAACATTATCGGCATAGAATGGCATGTATTGGTTTGACATTTAACATCATTTGAAACTATTTTGTATTCCGTTGGTAGCATAATGTTCTCCCTTGGACATCTTTTGATCGAATACTTTTTTGCTCGTAAGTAGCTCATGCACAGCTTAGTTACAATTTTTTCACAGAAATGCTCTAATACATGCTGTGCTGTTCAATTTAAAACAATAACGTTCAACTTTCTAAAATAAGCCGACACTACGCATCAAGTTCAGTAGAAACATAACTCTCTCTAACGTTATGAATTTTAACTAGGCAGTGCGGACACCTGCTCTCACAACCATCCATATTCAATGACATTCTATTCAATAAACATTAAATATTCATCGAATCATCACTCACCGGTCCATCCCGGGTCGCAGACGCATTGATGTGTGAAGAACCGGTCCACGCAGAGGCCATTTTCACATGGACTGCCGGCGCACAGGTCGATCTTCCGCTCACAGCGCTTTCCGGCGAACCCTGGCGAGGAGGCAGAAGTGTTAGACTAAGCTAGACAACGGCTGGACGGTCTGTGGTAGATGTAACATCGGGAATCGCTTCCTGTATCACGATGTGGATGCAAATGAATAATGAACATGCATATCTGAGAGGCATCGGGAAAGGTTTCCTTTGATTAGATTCCAATTTATTCATGCTGCTAAGTCAGCTTGATGCATCCGAAATGAAATACCGATTTGTTATAGCTTCAAGATATACAATTCACCAGCATGTGTCCAAATTTATCACTGACCACATCAAAGGCAGAATGGAAGAATTGAAGTTCCATTGCTGTTTTTCTCTACATTTTGCATTCCCGGGCTCACGTTCTTATTACCATACGACAGTTAACGATGAGCTCATCCCTGAATGCCCCTTTCACCTAAAGCTGGGGTCGGCAACCTTTTTGGGGTGCGGGCCGGATGTAAGATTCGGAAGCAGCCGGCGGGCCGGAGTATAGCATGGCTGCAATTTCTTACAATCACAGGCAGAATTTGGGAAATGACAGCGTTGTTAATGGATTTTTAGTTCTGACGGCTCACTGCTTTGCCCTGTGTCTTATGATGAAACGTACCTTTTTAAGGCGGACTGTGGCAGGGAAAAAGGCGAGTTTGAAAATGGAAGGAATGCTTATGTCCATTTTATTATCTGATCCGATGCCTATACCTATAGATATCAGACAGTATAGGAAGAGCTTTTGTGGCAGCGCACACTTTAGTCACTTTTGTATGAAAGTCGATTTCTGAAGGAACCACGTGCCGGACCAAACGTTAGTTGCTGATACCAGGCGCGGCCCTGAACACAACGTATGTAAGCTTCTGACACCAGCCGCCGGCCGGACGTCAGAAGGTCGCGGGCCGTAGGTTGTCGACCCCATACACCCAGACTCACCGGTGGGACAGGCGCACTGGAAGTCGTTCACCAGGTCGGTACACTCTGCTCCCAGCAGGCACGGCTGTTCCGAGCAGTCGTCTGTGTTGACCTCACAGCGCGCTCCCGACCAGCCGGGGCCGCATTCGCACCGGTAACGGCCCTGGGGGTAAACGGGGAAAAGGTCAAAGGGGTAAAGATCCTGGAGGGTAAGCGGGAAAAGGTCAAAGGGGAAATGATGCCGAGCACCGGCCCTGTAGGGTAAACGGGGTCAAAGGGGAAATGATCCTTGAGGGTAGGCGGGGAAAAGGTCAAAGAGGTAAGACTTAGTGACTGGTACCGATCTTATAGGGCAAAGGAGTCAAAGGTCAAAGGGAGAAATATAATAGAACGCACAAGAGAAACGTTAGATGGATGTTGAATGGTGCAGAAAAAGTACCACCCATCAGTGCAAAGGAGTTACTCGAGGTCCCTTGGAGACGTTTAGATGACGTTTAAATTAGATGAAAGGAAATGCAATTTGTGAAAATTATTTGAAAATCCAAAAAGCTAATGCTTTTCTCCAATGCCATGCGTAATATAATAGTGTTAAAAGTCTGAAGCGAACAATGTCCCTCAGAACTCGGCGGTGTGTTCCCGAGCACCGAGAACACACTACACCGCTCCAGCCATGCTGTCTCACCTGCTGTAGCGGAACACAGCGAGCACCGTGCTCACACGGGTTGCCCGTCTCCGTGCAGGGGTCGACGGTAACGTTACAGCTGGGCCCAGTGTATCCCTCGCGGCACAGGCACTCGAACTGACCTGCCAAACGAGATGAAAATGAGCGTCAACAAAAACACGAGAATGTCGGTGCGCATAAAAATTAAGACAGCCGTTACCTAACAACAATAAAATCAAAATGAAATACGCAAACGTACAATAAAAATGTGACACGTTTAAGTAAAATATGGCTTAAAATGGACTTACAGATAAAATATTAAAATGGTCTCGTGAACACCAAAATCCAAAAAACACACGTTGATGGTCGTGCAGGTTTAGAACACAAGTTACCTACCAATTCTGATCTTACATGTTAATCCATTCCTTGAAAAATTTGCTCAATTTCTCACATTTTAAACAATTAAAATGATTCAAAAATCGCGTTACTACCTAATTATGATCTTAGATGTCAGTTTATTGCTGTGAAAATATGCTCAATTTTTAACATACAAAACAGAAAATGCTTCAAAAATATGACCGCAAAGTTTGCTTCTCGATAGTTTTGCATTTCCGCGGGGGCGATGAGTACAATTCCATTCGGCGTGGGCCGGGGGGCCGGGGGTGTAAGGCGCACGTGGCACGTGACGCAACACGCGATAGTGCCGCCGGCTACCGCCGTACTAGTTGCCCGGGGAAAGACCGTCGAGAACCGTGCAGTACCAACGACTACCCGCGGCCGCCCCGGGCGCCCCACTTATCAATGTGCAAGCGGCAGAGTGTCGGCGTCCGCGCCCAACTAGAATGGTCTGGCGGTTACGTGAGACGCCAATCAAGTTGGAATGTTCCGAAGCTTCTTAAGTGGAGTGGTTAACCACTTATGTTCAACCTGGGAGCGGACGAATCGTTTGCTTTGCAACCTCACAACAGACTGTTGTATCCGCTGACATGTGGCTGATAGTTTAACTCTTGACGGTGCTTGCGCTTGAGAGGTCTGGTGCTAGGCTATAAGTTTTTATTCATCGTGTTTCTATGATTCAGTAATAAAATCAAAATATTGTCACTCTAAGCCTTAGTCGAAATATGTGGACCTTTTAACATTTACAAATTATGTTTTCGAAACAAGTCTGATCTTTGAACTATGTCGTTAAAACAGCCGCTAAACGTGCTATCGCCTTCATGATTTCGAAAGGCTGTTCCTTTCAAAGGTCTTACTCTCCACAACTGGTAGGCGTATTTATATATATATTTTTTGGTACTCCAAATTGGCACACGTGTATCTTTAATTGGCATATGAATAATGTTAGCTGATTTTGACGTCTCGACTTCCATATCATAAGTTTCCCGCCGTTTCAGTTAACTAATGTACACTTACCGACTCCGGGCAAATCCATGCACATAGCCCGGGCGGGGCACGTATCCTCCACACAGTCAGTCTCTTCGATTTGACAGTTAATTCCCGAGTAACCAGCAGCACACTGGCACCGGTAACCCTGCAAACAGGTCAGGTCAGGTCAGCTCAGGTCATGTCAGGTCAGGTCACGTGAGGTCGGGTCAGTGCTGATAAGGCTGGGCTATGCGAGATTAGGTGGAATGAGGTACGATCATGTCAGGTGAAAACAGGTCAGGGTACTTCAGGGGAGCATTCTTGATTCATTCTTGAATTCATTCTTGATACATTATGCAATCAGATCAGGGAGCATAAATCAGATTAGGTCATGTCAATTCAATTGAGGTCAGGTCAGGTCAGAATAGAACACGGTAGGACAAGTCAGGGGAGGACACATCAGGCCAGCTCAATTTAGGTGGTCAGAGCAGGACGTCGATAGATCAGGTTTGGCCTACTCTGGGTCAATTAATGAAATGGCACGTCAATTCATGTCAATGTCAAAACAAGATTGTCAACCGCCAACCGGAATATACTAGTTCCTGCCCCACTTGAGATACCGTCACGAGTGAATCCTGCACTCACCCCACCCCACCTGATAAACCGTGTCAAATGCTCGGTACCACCACGGTAATAGGCCGTACTTCCCCTCGACTTACCTGCTGTTGGTCGATACACGATCCTCCGTTGTAGCACGGGCTCGAGAGGCACTCGTCGACATCGATTTCACAGCGGGCGCCGCTGAAGCCGGCCGGACAGAAGCATTTGGGACGGTGGCCCAGCATCTGGCGGGTACAAGATGAGCGGTATAAGACAGTTGGCTAGGTTACCGTTTACGGGGGATCGTCAAATATGCCACTTGCGAACAAGAGTTGGAAAATTTAACGAACGTTTAACGATAGACGATGCAAACTCGTCTTATCGTCTAAAAATAATCGTCATAATCGTCAGAGAAATCCCGGTCTAAAAGAGCTCATTTCTGTTTCAGCTATCTCAGAATGCAGAACGACATACCAAATCGGCTCAGTCTTTCGCCTGTTCCGGCCATTCCCCTTGATCCGACCTAGCCTCCCTCCCTATATGACATGACTTTGCCCCCCACCTGACCCAATCCGACCTAGAGGCACTCTCACTATCTGACCCAACCCAACCTAACCCTAACCTGACCCAACCCGACCTGACCCCTACCTGACCCAACCCACCCCCATACCTGACCCAACCTAGCCCCCTACCTGACCCTCCCCAGCACGCTACTCTCCCCTCCCCTCCCGTTCTCTAACCTGGCACAGTCCACCATGCTCGCAGGTATCCTCAGAGCAGGTCACCGGCACACAATCCGTGGGAGAGACGGCGCCTTCCGAGCGGGTGGTGTTGCCCGTGGGACACTCGAAACACGTGTTGGCGCCCTCGATAGGCTGGAAGAAGTTCACAGGGCAGGAGAAGCAGGGCTCCAAACCGTTGGCTGAGTAGCTACCCGGAGCGCACTTGGCTGGAAAAAGCCAAAAGCATCGGTTAGCAAATAATGTATCGATATCGCAGGACAGGTGTGCATATTGCTTACTCCTATTTCTTGTTTTAGTTGTCAATTGTCTCTACGTTGAAGGTATGCATATTTTTGTCGTAATTGTATGAACTTTAACATAAGTTATATTAACAAATTATCGCTTATAAATAAAACATTTGAAATAATTTGTAACGGAATTAAACAATACCGCAATCAGCTCTTAAATTTGTTACCCATGAAAACTTTGGCTTCAGTGGAAATTAGGGAACGTCTTGTAAAGAAAAGAACAATTTCTAACTATTATCCCTCTTTACCACTTTCGAAACTGACGTCAAAGACTCATTCATCTTACCACTATATATAAACGCCAATAACGCGCCTTCATCTCACCTCGGCAGAGTGCCTGATCGTTAGCCGCCTGGGCGTGAGTGAAGGTATCGGGAGGGCACGAGGAGCACTCCTTGAATCCATCAGCAGGAGGTGCCATGGTGAAGCTGTTCCGCGGACACTCCAGGCAGGGCACCAGGCCAGAGGGCGAGTAGGTGCCGTAGCCGCACACGGGAACGCAATCCTGGGGAGAGAGTGAGGTCAGGTCAGTTGTGGACACGGGGGAAAGAGCGAGGTCAGTTGCGGATTTGGAGATGGAGGTGGTTATTCTTGGATGCACCGAAATAAATGATGATTCCTGGTTTCGGCAAAAAACCGGCATTTTTTACAGTTTATTTGTGAAATTATTAATTAATTAATTTCGTAATCAATGTATACAGTTCCTTATTTACCATTATAAATATTTCATATTCAAACTGATACACAATAAAATCACCTAACGATATGAAATACAGTGCAAAAACGATGACCTAAAGCCTCGACTCTAATCCTATCCTCATGTCTAGTCCTTGCCATTTGATCCACATTCCTTCCCCCGTTCTTTCTATCCCCTTCTCTTACCTTGACGCTCTTGCTTCCCTCGTGTCTGGTATAGGTGCCCGAGGGACAGCTCTTGCAGGCGCCCTGCCGGCTTTGGTCTTGGTACTGGCCCATGGGACACACTGTGCACTCCTCGTCCTCGGTTTTGGCGAATGTTCCGGCAGGGCAGTGCACTGAGGAAGAAAACAGGTCAAATGAGGTCATACAGCGCCAGCAGAGGGCAGTATGAAAAACAAAAACAAAAAGTAAAAAAGGGTTCATTTTCGACAAGCCTATCCTGTTGGCCAAACTCAAGCCGATGTGAAGGTAGTATGATTCTAATGCTTGCACTGAATTGTGTAAAATTGTGTACAGAAGATAGCATTTTATGTTTTGTGTTTTGCATTTTTTTTTGCGCAGTCATGACCCATTATTAATGTCAATGGACCATGATTAGTATGCTTAATGCCAACGCTTAGCACCATAACTAGGTCGTATGCCCAATCATCAACATGCTTTAGACTTCAAAGAAATGAACAACTCAGTCCACGTTTATCTATTTTTCTACTCACGGCATCTGGGCACGTTGGTGTTGCTCGACTCAGAGTTGAGAACCTCTCCCGTGGAGCAGGTAAAGCCGCGGGTCACATTGCTGTCCAGAGCGCGCATCGGGGGGCACTGGTTACCTGTGAAAGAACACGGTGTGAACGGGCTTAAATCGCTGCACATCGGAGGGCGCTAGTTACTAGTGGGGAGCGTAGTGTAAACATGCAATTAAGTTGCTGTACATCGTCGCATTTCTATACGACACTAATAAAGTCCGACGTTTCTTACATGTCTTGGAGAATTTCTTGTTCTTATTCAAGCACAGGGTGTCTAGCTCAGCAAGATAAGGTTTGCTTTACAGAAAACTGCTTCACATTTTCGTATCCTAATTGACGCTAAACGTGGGAACGGGTCAAATCAGAAAATAAAGACAAAGCTGCAATAAAAAATAAAATATACGCAATTAAACCACAAAAAACGGTTCAAAGAACCATGTAAACCAAAACACTTAACAATTCTGGTAGGCCTGTTCAACGCCGCTTCCACTCCAAGTTCCACTTCCAATCTCCCTACCCCCACCTCCAAAGTCTTACCGATAGCATCGACATCAATGAGGGGCTGGATGACCACAGAGGTCGAGGGCACGGCCAGCTCGAAGATGAGTCCGAGGTTCAGGCCGCAGAGGTCGTACAGCAGCGGCTGGGACACCTCCGGGGTGATACGCAGCACGTGCTCCAGCTACGCGGGGGAGAAAAATGAGTGAACAAGTAGGTACATACTCGTTTGACGTAAAATAAATAATGCTGAAGACATATGAGCATAAAACATGCATGAGAGTATGAAACAAAACAAACAAGTACGACTTTTTTGCAATCACAAAAAGAGGATAATGTACACTGATTGTACAATGTATGCACAGTGTCCCTTTCCATTACGGTATCCGTAATTGACTATATTATTTCGAACGATAGTACTTATTTCGAATTTTCATCACCTATTTGGAGTGCAATATACGAGAAAATATTTTCATCTCAATCCAATCACCATGTGCCTCAATGGATATCACTATATTTTGAACATGCACTTAAATTCGTGTCCATAGACCTCTGTACACCCTGTACACCTTGAAGGTGTATATAGATCTATGATGTGTCATATGCCATTATGTCGGTCATCAACTTACCTCGACCATATTCTCGGCGATTCTCCTGGCGCCACCGTCCAGAAGCCTGACATCCATGTTCAGGTTGACGGCCTGGGAGCAGCGAGCTGAGAGGACGGAGCTGAGGTCGGCGTGGAATTGCTTCAGCTCCTCCTGTGAGACAATAAAGTGAGACATTAGCATTGGTTTGAGACATTAGTGTGAGACATCAGAATGATATATTACCATGCAGTGGTGACTGGTGATACATGAGAGAGGCGAGATATGAGAGTGAGACAATGTCTAGTTAAGCCATCAGAAAGGTAAAACATATGCATGGTGAAAGATATTCACCATTATGAAATATTAGTACGGCAAGACATGCGAGGGGCGAGACCTTCAAGTGAGACATCAAAGAGCGTGAGACAAGCATCAAAATGCTGAGGACATAACGATGAACGATCTCTGTGGAGAAAGTCCAATGTTAACCTTTCTCTCGAACGTATACAATATACATGCCAACACGCACTCCCCCCCCCCGACTACCCCCTCCTCCCCACTAACCTTATACATGTTGACACACTCGGGCGCCACGGCGCCGTTGGAGCGGTAGCTGATCCTGGCGCTGACGTCATAGCTGGCCTGCTGGGTGTCTTCAGTAACGCAGTCGGGGACCACGCTGGCCGGCTCCCAGGCCTGCTTGGGCTGGCAGCCGAACCGCTTGATGTCCTCACCGTCGGTGAAACTGGAAGGTTAGAAGGATAGAGGTTACAAGGAGATGTGGTGGGTAAGGGAGGTGAGAGCGTGGTTAATGTTGTCAAAGCTATTCAATTGTCTAGCTGACTTCGTGAATTCCAGCCTTTCCGTTCATTTGGGTTGCTAGCCTACTAATAAAAATTAAACTCCAAACTGGTTGGAACTTGAATGAACAGTACATAAGGTTATGTGGTTATATAGAATATGTGTGGCTTAAAAAAATGAGCCCTAAAATTGTAGTTATCTCAAGACAGTCCAACAGGCATAGATAGCCAACAAGCGAGCCCATTCGACAGGATTTAGCAAAACAGCTTCAGATTAGCTCCAAACACAAAACTACCAGTCCCTCAAGACCGACAAATGGCAAACTACTTATCGAGTAGACTCAGCTCCTGCATCGCTCACCGGTAGCCCTCTTTGCACGTGGCCAGGCAGCGCAGTCCGCCCGACTCGCTGGGGAGGCAGTTGACGTCACCGTTGGCCGGTGCCTTCAGGTCCCAGGCCACGCACGGGGTGGCCTGAACGGCGACCTAGGGGAGGCGGAGACAAAATGTCAGAAGAGGACACTTCAGTGCAGGAAATTAGACTAGCGGATCGTACAATTTATCTACCTATTTACAAGCATCCTTATTGATTGATTGATGGATTGATTGATTTATTTATTCATTGAATTATTTGTTCATTTATTTATTGATTTATTCATTCATTGAATTATTTATTTATTTACTTATTCAGTTACTTAGTGAATTTTTGTTTGCAATGGTCTGGGCTGAAAACTCTTTACAAGAACGTTTTATTAAAAAATCCATGATTCAGTTACTTCTTGAATTGACGACACTGGTTCCATAACTCATAGCAAACACATAAAATCCTTTGCAATAACAAAATTTGTTACCACACTCCTCATTCAGTGGGCTCCAGAAACCACTGCTCACCTGGAAGTGACACTGCGCGCTGTTGCCGGACGCGTCCTTAGCCGTGACCGTGACGTTTTCATAGCCTCCGATCGGAATTCGTGCCGCAGAGGGTTCGAATACAACCTGAATGGAATCCGCCTGTGGGAGCAGAAAAGTCGTGATTAGTTAAAATAGTTTAGGACACGCACAACAGAAATAATATTCGGAAAAGAAGAATGATGATAAATAGGGGCACGTCAACATTGAATGCTTACAAATCGAACGTGTATCGGTAGCTCGAATTCGGAGAATGCACAGAGATCATTAAACGTTTACAAAAAAGTGTAGAAATACAAAGCTATAGCCATAAATAACATGAGCTACCTAGGTATAGTTGATGAACCTAGTATCATAAACTAGGTGGGTAGTCCATGGTATCGATGCTATAGCGCATTCTCACGACCCTCATGACGTCATCAAATAGTGCTTACGTCATCAGTGTCGTCTGAGACGGTGACCTGGCTGCGGGAGCGGTTGAAGTTGATCTCATAGAGCTCCTGTTCCTCTACCAGCTCCACCACATAGCTCTGAGGACACGTGATCCTCGGAGGGGTGTCGTCTGAAAAAAGATCATCAAGGGAAAGTTAGAAAGTGATGATCAATAAGTCGCACTTTATCCCGAAAGAAAAACATATTGACAAATTTATCAATAAGTAAATTCTCCAGGCTAAGTTGAAGGTGAATTACATTCATAAATGAAAGCCAAATAAAAGACATTTTAATAGCAGATCAAGTACGAATAGCTTTGTTCAAACTATTATTTTATATCTGCTTGGCAGGTAATTCTTCCTTTCATCATGAGGCCAGCAGACCAGTGCTCACTGCTCGCATATTAACTCGGCAATCGCGATGGTTGGGTAAAATCGGGTAGGAAGTGATCGGATGCAGGTTTCGTCAGAAAACGGGACTCAGATCAGGACGAAGTAGCTGTCCTCCTTACCGGGGACGGTGATGTTCATCTGGCAGATGGCCACGTTGCCGTCAAAGTCGAACGCCAAGTACTCCAGCATCAGATCCCTGAGCGCGTGATAGAACAGTGTCAGGGGTTGGGGTGGTATACCAGGGTCACATGACTTTAAACAATACAGGAGCACAGCTGGTATGACAGAGTCACGTGACATAACAGGGGAGTAGACTGTAGACGATATGGCAGGGTCACGTGCCAGCACCATGAATGCAGATGACAACTTCACTGACATGACGTGTGTTAAGTGCTAGTGTAATTTTCGTAAGCCTAGTATTTCACTTCTTCCACTCCATTGTAAGCTTAGCGAACATCTGGACCCAAAACCACCCATTCCAAGCTCTAAACTAATTTTTGTATTGAAAAAATGTTCCGTTTGTCCCTAATGCAAGAGGAAAGCAATGACCCATGAATCGAGAAACTATGTGACTTCTATGACCTGACCCACGTATATAACCAATCACACGAGACACCTATGTGATGAACTGACCTGAACACATAGACGGGAGGGCTGAATCCGGCCGGGCGCACGTCCGTCCTCACAATCATACCCGAGTTGTCAGTGGCAATCGGCTCGGTAAAGTTGACGGGCAGAATCTGGCCGTTCTCGCCCTTGGTAACCTGTTGAATGGAGGGAAATTCAGTTAAATGAACAATGGTTATGCGAAATGCGAATAGTTAGGTGGCACTGTTTAACGATAGTGGGAGAAAAAAGTGACTGGTTGTGAGGTAATTGGACAGGAACAGGGATACATGATTAGAGGAAACGGCGGAAAAGAAGTGAGATGGAGATGTATTTTCACAAATAGGGTTGAAGTGCGAATGACGGTCGATGTAAGGCTGTAGCATAGTTCGAAATAGCAGGGGAAATTTGATATGTAAAAAAACAAACTCAACGCAAGAGTCATTCGACAAAGGAAACGATAAAGTGAGATAAAGTCGAACAACAACAACAGCAAAAAGTGAGTTGAATTCTATCGATAAACATATCGTTGGGATTTATATTCTCACCTGAAGCAATTCGCTGGGGCAGTTGACGAACTGGGGAGGCTCGGCGTCTACACACATCGAGTAACCCATGTCGAAACCCAGGAGTGGCTGGGTCTCCTCCACTTCACAGCCCAGCAGCTCGAACTTGAGACACGGGTTCTTGTCGTACGAGATGATGCCTGAAAGGAAAATGACAGGTTATTTTGAGCTGAGGAGTAAGAAGAGACGGAAATATGTTCATTATTATCATTGCCTTTATAAACGCTTCTGTATGAGCTTAAAACCGCAAGGCAGTACTCTATTAGACTTTTATGTATAAGCAAAGCGTTCATGACGTAAAGAAATGACGCATTTAACCTGGTAAAATACCTGTTTTCGTTCATCAGTTTATATAGCTTTGTGTTCATCCTATGACGACTACCATGACCGTCAGAAGTCTTTCCTAAACATTTATCTCCAGCCGCCCAGAGTTTATACTAACCGAGAATGACGAATCGGGTTTCCACCGATTCTGGTAGAGTAATCATAGCCAGTTCTCCGTAATTGCCCGGGTCGCGAGCGGTCAGGTTAAAGTTGGGGAAGTACACCACGTAGTCTTCGTCCTCGGATCGTTTGTAGAAGAAGCGGATCTCGGTGGGTCGTCCGACCACGTCATTGGTGACCACGCCCTTCAGAAGAATGGCCTGCGGAGCGAGACGTGAATGGATGTCATTCCATTTACCGGAACGTCAAGAACATATAAAAATCACAAATATTTGACAACATGAAAATAACAACAAGTAACTAAACACAATGAACCCTGAACAGCCTTGTAGCTGCCATAACATACACAATTAACAAGGCCTTATGACACTGTCAACTTTTAGCTACAGTCGCTGTTCTAAAAGGACCCTGAACTCTTTATATCGAATATCAATTCTATAAGCCAAATGACCTTCGTTTTCAAGTCAATTTCAAATAACTCAACCGAAATAAGTCGCTTACAAAGCACCTTATATTCCAGCAAACGCAAAAACTCAAAACAAAGTCCACACATCATGACATACACATCAACCCCGGCGTTCCTCTAATCACTCACCTTGACCCTATGCAGCGTCCCGAGGTCGACCTGGACGTAGGTGAAGGGCTGGTCCAGCTGGCCGCACCAGCCCGTCACAGAGCTTAGACGCACCTTGTCTGACTCGTAGTTGGCACGCTGCGTGCTGGCGTTGATGGAGGCCGCTGTGAAGGGGAGAGGGTGGTTAGTTACGGACTGGGGAGAAGGCTGTGGGGACAGTGTGGAAGAGAGGCTGTGAAGAATGAACAATCAGTGAACTGTGCAAACGATTTGTCAGGAAATGTACAATTGCTTTTCAAACCGCGTTTGCAATGGATGGTAAATGAATGAATGAATGAATGAATGAATGAGTGAATGAATGAATGAATGAATGGATGGATGAAACCGAACGTAAAATGCATAATTATTCCTCGGCGTTTTAGCCCTTAAATAACAGACATGTCACGAATCTGGGGAGGGCTTAGGCCGCTGCCCTATCGCGTCCAGCTTTACCCTCTTCGACCGTTAACTCCTACATGCTTATTAAGCCTTCTATTCTTCCTACCTGCAATCATACAGTATATGGTTCCTACCTGGAATCGATGATGAATTGGGGTTTTTGGGTGCCGGGACTACCAGTGGTCATCGGCGCCCATACCTGCAATCCAACAGTCTAAGATTCGTACCTGGTATTCTGCCGTCGGTGATTCCCAGTGGCCGGATGGTAGCACACTCGGGCTGACGAACACATTCAATTGGCTCTCCCGAGAACGGAATGTAGCCGGGCTTGTTGCAGGTGAACGAAACCTGAAAACACATCAGTTGGTAGTCAGCACATGAGCGAAACCCATTTCACAAACAGGCATGAAACAAGAAGTACGTCAAACAGACGTAGAGCGTTCTTTGCGAAATACCCTTCCTGGGAATATGAGCCTTGAGCGTGAAATACCGAAGGCAATGCGATCGTAATTTACACCAAAGTTCCGCTCGATCTATAGCCAGTTTATAACAAGGTATACCAGTCCATTACGATAAATAACTCTGAAATAATGACATTGTACCCATATACATTTTCATTTGCATCTCCTGTTCCTTTACCTTGGAGCCCTGCTCGTAGCTGGTGGCGATCTGGGCTCCGTCGGCCGGCCGGCCGGGGTCCACACAGACGGGTCCCTCACAGCGCAGGTCGCCAAAGTCCCACGTACCGTCCGCCTGACACCGCACCACGTTGTCGTTTGACCTAAAGAGATAGAGGGATGGTCAGACGAACGAAAACTACTACAAATTCTACGAGATAAATCCTTGCACAGAACTAGACAATCCGACCGCGTATACGTAAATCGTCTTGTCCGGTGTTAACGACATTACCTAAACGTCCTCGAAGAAATAACGCAATGGAAGACTTGGTGTCATCGGTATATATTTAATTTACAATGCCTTCCTTTGATGCACTACGGTCTACGAGCCAGATGAAATCTAAACGTTCTCCCAAGTAACGTCCCCTTACGTCTTCCCTGGACATTGCCCCCATCTTTTCTACATATTCCTGACAAATAACACTTACCAACTTAATCGAAAACAAGCTCTGACTTTTTCGCCCTTTATATAATCTGCTTAGGGCGACCTCTGACCTGACACAACTGACCTGACCTGACGTATTCCCCTTTGCCCTTGCACGGCAGCACACCATTCCCTCCACTCTCTCCCCTACTCACGAGCTCTGTCCGGCCAGGCTGAAGGTGTCTTCACACCCGAAGAAGAAGCTGCTCTCGTACATGGTGTCAGCGTAGTTTCCGTAGGACCCTCCCGGGGTAGTGGGAGGCACTCCGCAGTCAATGCGGGGACAGGCGGGGGGAGTGCCGGAGATCCAGTAGTCCGGAGTGCCTGCGGAGGCGAGCGGGGGTCGTTAGATCGTTTAAAGGACGTAAAACTGCCCCCAAAATTACGAAACATGCTTTTATATGCCACTGTGCTGCTTAGTTCGTAAACGGTGTAGTAGCATACGAAACAAACCAATACTGACCAGTGGAGGAAAGATCGACAATAAAATCACCCACGTAATAACAAAATGATTAATCAATTTGGAAACAGTTTTGACAGAGTACCTCAGCTCTCCCATAATTCCTCTCTATCTACCTTTCTCTCCCTCTCCCTCCTCTCTCTCTCTCTCTCTCTCTCTCTCTCTCTCTCTCTCTCTCTCTCTCTCTCTCTCTCTCTCTCTCTCTCTCTCTCTCTCTCTCTCTCTCTCCCCCCTCTCCCTCTTCCTCTCCCTCTCCCTCTCCCTCTCCCTCTCCCTCTCCCTCTCCCTCTCACTCTCCCTCTCACTCCCTCCCCCTCTCTCTCTTACCTGGTTTCGGATCATAGACACACTGTCTAAATCCAGCTGTGCGTGTGTTGCGCAGCGGTTTTCCTGTCTCTGAGCAGGCGATCGTAATGTTCTCTCTGAACGGTACGGTGAGCTGTTCGGTCTCTTCCTCGTCCTCCTGGTTTGTAAGGGTGACGGAGAGACCCTCGGCGGCGTCACCCTCCAGCGGTGGGCAGGAGGCGTCTGTGGGAGAGGAAAGAGGCAGGTAAATTATTTGCATTGGCACTTATAAGCATCCAAATAACTTATTTGCATCGGCACTTATAAGCATGCATTTTGTGGTATATCTTTTGACATACCACAAACGTAATTTTTGTAGAGCGTTGTATCTTATGGTTTTATTTTATGATAATGTATGGTATCTGTGCTGATTTAGGTAGCGTTTCGTCATTTTCCTATCTTTCATACAACTTGAAAACTAACACATTGTAGAAACCACTATGCTGAGTCCCGCAAACCAAACTCATGCGACAATTTTTTGATGCTAAGAGTGGTCTCTTGAGACCGATTATAATCTACAAATAGGATCCACCGATATAATTTGTGACATGTAACCACCCAATAGCCCTTTACCCATCTGTGACCCAAGACTCGTCTGTGACATAACCCATCTGTGACCCTTTCTCTACCTAGGACCCATTCCCCGTCCGTTACCCCCCCCCCCCTCACACTTACACTCGCAGGTGGGTACCGTTCCGTTCCACTCTCCACTGGAGGTACACTGCAGAGAGCTGGCGCCCTGCAGCACGTAGCCGAAGTTGCAGTAGAAGCTGATGACGTCACGGTAGTGGTACTGGTCCTGTGGGGGCAGAGAGATGACGTCACGGGTCAGGTCAGCAAACTACGAGCTAAACTAAGTTACAGGCCAGATCGGTAAGCTTGAACGTCCACGTGATTCAAAACACGGATATTTATAAGCAAAATAATGAAGATCGAATTAATTACCGCCTTACGTTGTAAACAAACAAGACACCTTAAGTCGATAGCGGGTCTACTTAAAGTCGATATAAGTAATTTGAGATGAATGTTCAACAGATTTCATGCCATAAAGCCTCATGTCTCTACGTTCTATATACCGCGATCTTTATCAACCGTTCTTTTTGCTATGACAAGCTATCTCGTGACGATTACTTGAGAACCACGCATGGCAGACCACACCAGACCATGGATTATCCATTACTAGCTAATCCACGACCAGACCAAGACCGGAGGCGACATAGGTATTGCAGGCTTCAATCCACAAGCCACACACCTGAGTGGAGACCAGCAGTCCGTTAACAGGATCTTCAATACCGGGGCACTGCTTGGGCACACACGTCTTGTTGATGCGGTAGGTGTCGCCGTCCCTGAGGCCGGTCTCTGAAGGAGCCACGGAGAAGCCGGCGGTTCCGTTCTTGGTGAACAGCTCGTATCCTTCCTCGCATTGACAGGAGAATGATCCGGCACTGGTTGTGGGGAGGTAGAGACGCGGTTAGGTCAGTGAGCATAAAACTCATCACGTTTACGAAATCACTTACCATGCAAGAGAAAGTTGCGGTTCTCGAAAATGTCACTGATATGCACGCAAAATCTATGTTGGTGCATTAAGTAAAGCATATGTAATGCCTGATGAACTATCGATTTTTATTGATCAGAATAGCAAGGTTTGCTGAACATCGTCAGTGGCATTACTGACGCCTAGTTTTCATGGCCATCAACAATACGCACTTTTAACTCATAAATATCACACAGAACGTCTTGAAAGGCCTTTCTCTACACATATCAACACGTTCAGAACTCACGAGTTGACGCATTTCTGGTGGCACCCTCCATTGTTGGTGGCACATTCGTCAATATCGGTACACTCGGACCGCGAGCAGCCCATCAGCTCCATACGCATGCACGGCGCCACCTGGAAAATACAGGAGGTCACTCGTCAGAGCGGCAGGGGACGTGGGATCAAGGTATACATGATCTAAAACTGAACATTGAACACGCACCCAAAATGTTAAACCATGCAACGTATCAGACTATACAAAACATAAGGTACACGTCTCAACAAAACACTTCCAAATGCCATCTACATATGTATATAAAAATGTTGCACTCGACGATAAGAATGTCGAAGCCAAATAATGCGCACAATTAACAATTCCGACGTAATGAATAGAAATGCCAAGCACTTACAACACTCGTGTGCGAGACGTCGGCGGAGGAGGAGCTCGAGTTTAGCTGCGATCTCTCGCGCGTTACTGAGGGTGTTGGAGTTTGGGTTCATTGGTTTCTATTTTCTGTTTCGTTTGCAAGGCAAGTTCTTTCTTTGAAGTAAGAGGTGATGCAGTGATGGATCGGAGGCGGCCCGTAAAGCGGGTGCGACCTGACGAGTTTTTCTTTGACGGAGGAGAGTCCAACAACACAGGGTCTTTCTTGAAGGTAAAGTTGTTATCTGATGTTTCATTTAAATCAAAGGGATGGCCTTGGGTTCAGCTCGGAATCAGAGGGATACTGGGACCTGATGATAGGTTGGCTAAAGCTAGCCTCTTGGCTGATGGTGGGCTGCTGATGAGGACAAAAAATGAGTCTCAGACTTCCAAGCTTCTGAAAGTTCAAATGTTTGCAGGTGAGGAGTGTCAGGTGATCAGGGATGAACGGCTCAACACCTCCCGGGGTATCGTGCGGGCCCACGACCTGATGGAACTGTCTGAGGAGGAAGTAGCTGGGTGGTTGAAAGAGTCTGGTGTCACAAAGGTCAAAAGGTTCACAAGGAAGGTCAATGGGCGCACTGAAAGGACAGCAACACTCCTTCTAACTTTTGATACCCCCACCTGCCCTTCTAGGATTTCTTTGGACTATGTCACTTACAAAGTTGACCAGTACATCCCAAATCCAATGATGTGTTACAAATGTGGTAAATTTGGCCATTCTGAAACGACATGCAAGGATGATCGTGTGTGTCTTGTCTGTGGGGAACCGAGTCATGAGGGAGAGTGCACTCCAAAGTGCATCAACTGTAGCAAGAGTGGCCACTCCTGTCAGGATAGGAGGTGTGAGATATGGGTCAAAGAGAGGGCAATATGTAGAATGAAAGTAGAACAAGACATTTCCTTTGGGGAGGCGAGGAAAAAATTTGAGGAACAAGCACAGAAACAGAGTCCAAAATCATATTCTGAGGTCCTTAAGGTACCACAGAGCTCATCCCCACAGGAGGAGGAACTGAAAACCAGGGTGGGTAAGCTTGAAGATGCAGTGACAGAGCTGGTGGGTTTGCTCAAGCAGGTTCTGGGCAAACAATTGGATCCCAAAGGCACAGACAAGGAGACAGAGCCTGCCTGCATCACTGACAGCGGTGCACAGGGTGTAGAGAGTAGTGGTGAGATTTCATGCATAGAGACAGAGAGTGATTCTATGGAGGTTCAAAAACATGGTGATGTCGACTCAGATGAAAGACCAGTGACTGGCTTTGACAAGGAGATTGGGAAGTGGCAAACTGTGAGGAAGGGCAAGGGAAAGAAGGGAGGCAACATGCCTGTCCTTCCAGCACTGACTGGGGATGACGAGATTTCGCCGTCCCCCGAGCTGACTCGATTCACTCGAGCCCCAGGGCGAGGTGAACGTGGTCGGCTCAAACCAATGCAGCGGGCCCAAAGTGCTTCGCGACTTCCTTCGTCCAAACAGTGTTGGCAAAACAATTCCCATCCCCCCAACTCTTAGACAATACCCAGCAAAAGCATCATTTCTGTGTTTGTGGTTTTTTCTGGCAAATATCGAACAATTATTTCCAGTGATTACAGTTGCCTGCGTTTGTCGCAGGTTTCAGTCGGTACCCAGATTATGTATTATTTATTTCCTTATCCTGATTTGCATCTGGTGTCTGGTTTCAGTATCTCATGTGTTATATTTGATTTTGTGGTGGTCGTCATCAGTCTGCCAGGCGATCCTTTTTTGGGTCGGTTTGGCGGCGGGGCTGATGAAACGGGCGTGTTCCGTCGGAGCCGGGATGGTTCGACCGGCGCCCGGGGCAGTGGGGCAGGTCACGTGACCCGATGTTATCGCGAGGTCGGCGGGCCGGCCCCGGGGCTAGGCGTGGGCCCGGTCCTGGGGCGCGGCGTGAGCCCGACCTCAGAGCCGAGAACGAGCGCAAAGGTGACCTTGACCGTGCTGGGTACTTTTCCGTCGAATAGTTAGTTAGAAACAGCGTTATGCTTAATAGTGTGAGGAGTTTTACCATCATGCAATGGAATGCTCGTGGAATGATTGGAAAATGGTCGGAGATTAAACCTGTGCTACTGGAAAAAGGCAAAGATGTGATTTGCATCCAAGAGTCACATTTTCTCCCTAATGATCCTTATGATTTCCGCCTTAATAATTACACTCTTTATAACGCATTTCCCAATACGGACAGGAGACAGGGAGGAGTCAGTATTTATGTTAACAATAAACATCCCCATTGTCAGATAAATCTGAATACTTGTCTACAAGCTGTTGCAATATCGGTCCCAACTGGCAGATGTCGGCTGTGTATTTGTTCGTTGTACCTTCCGCCGAACGAGCGTCTTTCGCAGCAGGTTCTCAGTGGTCTGGTGAGCCAGCTGCCACAACCTTTTATTATATGTACAGACGCTAACAGCCGACATTACATGTGGGGCGCAGATCGTTGTGACCAGAGAGGAGTCATATGGGAACGAGTTATTCGTCAACACGCACTGAATATTCTTAACGATGGCAGCCCGACACGGCTCGATGAATACTCTGGACTATGGTCCCATATTGATTTAACATTGAGCACGGGTAATATAGGTCAGTACCTGCAATGGTGTACCGACTCTGATCTATATTCCAGTGATCATTGCCCAATATACATAACATTTGATCTGCCTGGAACTGACACCTGTCGGAACACAGATTTCACGGGATGGAATACTAATAAGGCCAACTGGTCTGAATTTACTGAGAAGTGCGACTTACGATTTTGTGAAGGAATAGGAATGGAAAACTGCACAGCTATGACCGAAGCCTTACTGAGGGCTGCGGAGGATAGCGTACCTATGAAACGGAACAACTCAAAGTACACTTGTCCATGGTGGACTGAGGAATGTAAAGAGGCGATTCGTAGTCGGCGACGAGCACTCAACCGGTTTCGTCGTAGCCACCAAACTTTACACCTCATGGAATATAAAGCTGCTAAAGCAAGAGCAAGGCGAATTATTAGACAGGCAAAACGGGACTCTTGGGAGAAACTGCTACATATGTTCAAACATACCACCCCTATGCGACAACTATGGGACATAATACGGCGTTTTACAAAGAAGGAGCGCTACCAGCGGCCATTGCCCGTATTATGCATCAATGGCAATATGACAGACGATCCCAAAGAAGTCGCTGACGTGCTCGGGAATTTCTTCTCGGGGATGTCGGCGTCCATTAATTATAGAGCTGCCTTTAGGGAAAGAGAGAGTGTTTTGCTCGAACAGCTTCCATCGTTTGCGAGCGACAACGACGAGTGCTACAATGACATGTTTACTATTGATGAATTGAGATGGTCAGTTTCCCATTGTGGAAATACCTCTGTTGGGCCTGATAAGATTCACTACATGTTTTTCAAGCAACTTAATGATGAGCAATTGACACAGATCCTAAAGCTGATTAATTACATTTGGCTTTCAGAGCGTCTTCCCGACACTTGGAAACATTCCATTATGGTGCCGATCCTTAAACCCGGGAAGCCAAGTCACCAACCCGAATCTTACCGACCTATACAGCTTACATCATGCTTCAGTAAGGTCATGGAACGAATGGTTACCAGACGGCTGGCGTGGTTTATTGAAAACGGAGGAATGCTTTCAGCCATTCAATGCGGATTTCGGAAGGGACGGAGCACAGCTGATCATTTACTACGACTGGAGTCCAATGTTAGACAGGGCTTCTTTTACAACCGGTATACTTTAGCTGTATTCTTGGATTTTAAGAATGCGTATAATCTTATTTCGACGGCGGCCCTGCTGACCAAGATGCACGCACTTGGTTTCAGAGGGCGAATGATGCACTTCATTCGATCCTACCTTGATAACCGAACCTTTCAAGTCAGAAATGGCTGCCTCTCCGATACATTTGAACAGGACAATGGCTTGGTACAGGGTGGTGTAATTTCTCCGGTGTTGTTTAACATCATGATAAACGACATATTTGATGGAGTCCCCGGAAACCCAACATGTGCGCTGTACGCTGACGATTGTACCATGTGGGTGCAAGGAAGGAGAATTGCACAATTAGTTGACCGAATGCAGTTAGCTCTCGACCATGTTAGTTCATGGGCTGACAGATGGGGCTTTGTTTTTTCACCGCACAAATGCAATGCCATTATATTCAGACGATATATGAAAGCAAGGGAATTAGCCACTGTGCCCCGATTGAGACTTTACAACGAGCACTTGAGCTACTCCGAGGAGGTCAAGTTTCTCGGGGTTTTGCTCGACACGAGACTGAATTTGAGCAAACATATTAAATATGTGAAGGGAAAGGCAACTAAACGTATATCAATCCTAAGATGTTTGGCCGGAGGGAACTGTGGAGCGGATAGAACGATACTTTTGCGAATTTACAAATCAATGATACGGCCAATACTTGATTATGCATGCCAGATACTGGATGGTCCACGAAACAAAACAGTTGAGTCGCTTGATAGCATCCAGAATGCATGCGTGAGGATTGCTACGGGCGCGCTTAGAACCTCCCCCATACTACCTCTGATGGTGGAAGCAGACGTACCCCCTCTGAGATTAAGACGGTGCGATTTGACCTTACGGTACTGCTTGAGAGTGAAGAGTGACCCCAACCATCCATGTCTTGAATTGATATCACGCGGTGCATCGCTGCCTGCCATTGATAGTGATTATTTGAAGCGAATCGCAGGCTTCCCTGTGTATGAGAGGCTCTCGGCTATATGCGCTGAGACAAACTTTGATATGCCGAACGAATTGACGTCCTTATCTGGTACCATCCCGCCTTGGCACTTGCAGAAATGTGATCTGATTCGACTAACAAATGAGAGAAAAGCAAACTTATCTGATATTGAAGTGCAATGTCAGTTTAATGACCTCAGAGAGAGATATGCAACGTTCTCTTTCTGCTTTACTGATGGATCAAAGAACCATGATGGTGTTGGATGTGCGTATGTACTTGGAAACCGACGTGAAAGGTTTAAGCTGCCAAATAACTGCTCTGTATTTACGGCGGAAGCATTCGCTATACTACGGGCACTGTTATTTGTGGAGGAAAGTGGTATCATGAGATGTGTCATTTGCACGGACTCCCTGTCCGTGCTGACTGCTCTTCGTGGGCCGGTCACTTCCCATCCTACTATCATGAAGATTTTAGAGACCTGTCATCGATTGATTACTTTGTCTGATCGCGAACTTGTTATTTTGTGGATCCCTGGACACTGCAGCATCACTGGGAACGAGCTAGCTGACCGTCAGGCCAGGGAGGCTATCTCGCTGGATCAAATAGTAGTCCTTGAAATGGGTCCCAAAGAGCACTATCCCGATATTGGGTTGTCTGTCCGTCGCCTGTTCCATCAGTGCTGGCAGCAGTATAACTCAAACACCAACTTGAAGTTGATAAAGGATGAAGTTGGACCATGGTCATCTTGTAAACGCGCCAGTCGCAGGGAGGAAATCTTGTTATGTCGCATGCGAATAGGACATACACGATTCACTCACGGACATATAATAGATAGAGACCCCAGGCCTGAATGTAACCGATGTTTGTGTCCCCAGTCAGTTAAACATATACTTGTGGAGTGCCCAGTGTATGCTACTCACCGACAATCGATTGTTCAGAAGTGCCTTCAATTGGATGTACCACTTACCCTGAAAACTCTTCTGGGTGATCAACACCCGGACATCACTGACGAGGTTTTCAGGTTCCTACGTGCTACCAATCTCTTCAAAAAGCTGTGACTGCGATGATCTGCGATGAACTAGCTGTGATTATTTGTGTTTGAAGCTATCATGTGCAATTATTGGATTATGTTAGTCTACCTGCCGATTGGCGAACCCCGTCGCGACTGATGCGGAGGGCATGGCCGTCGATCTGGCACATTGATGTGATCTCCTGCTTTTGTAATTTGTGTTGATTGTTTACTTTATCGTCTCTCTGGTGTTTTGTGTTATGTGCTGCGACTGCTCTGTGGACGTCCTCATGTGTGTAACAGTCGTGCATTGTGTGGGAATGATTGGATGAATGGAGATTGAATGTTGAATGAGAAGGATGCGGGAGTGGAGATGCATCGGTGTGAGAGATGGATGCAGTTAGTGGATGAATGAAGAGCAGCCTGTACTGGTTTGCTATTGTAGTTTCTTTTTCTAGATTTCTCTTGGATGTATACCTTCGTTAATCTTTTTTGTACCATCCGGTCCCTTCTTTTGTAGAAGTAGTCGCATAGTTCCGAAGTTGAGGCTCGTTATGATCGGTATGATCATGAGACATGAACCCTCCAACGCAAGTTGATAACTGAGTGAGGTACCAAGAGAAGACTCGTGCCTGAAGATCCTTTTGAACTGAATGGCTCGCTGGACAGATGCGAGGTCAAGAGCGTTATGATTGAATGACTCATAACCAGAAACCATCCTTTTTGTTTCTATTTTTAAGTTTTTAATCAGTTATATGTTAGAAACTAACCGTTACTAATATACTTCACCGGACATTTCCTGCCTGGACATATCCGAAGCCCGCGCATACATCCCCATGCCATCCCATGCTAAACCTATCATTTTCCTTCATCTGCTTAGTTTCCCTCTGCACAATCTGGCTGCAACCGATTGCAACATCTACTCGATCGTGACAAGAATGGCGCACTGATGACAACAACTACGGACGCTTGAGCCCAACGAGGCTATGCGCCCTAACCCAACAAGTACAAGTACAAGCCAAGCACTTACACATCCTACAAAGCATTACTTTCAACTTTTGCATATGATTGTGCCAACGCGATTGCTGAATGAACGAACAAATAGCCGCACTAATTACACCAAGAACACACCACTCACCTCATAATCCAGTATGGTGAGCCGCACATATCTGGCCTCCACGGGCGCCGGCATGCTGATCACCGACAGTCCGGCTCCAGCCGTGCGGAACTCTACGGGTGCCCCGCTGCTGGTCTGATACTCCTTCAGTACATCCGTCAGCTCGTTGGTATAGTACAGCCTCAGGCTCTTGGCATAGGCCACGCTGCGGTCTGGACGAGATACGGGCTGGATGCGGAAACCATGGACGACGGTGGGTGCCCGGAGGTCGATCATGACCCAGTTGACCTTGGGACCCTCCCGGGCGCCGCACCAGCCGCCTTCGGCGTTGAGACGAACAGCCTGGGGGCAGGAAAGGTCACATGAGGTCATACGGGGCCATACGAGGGTCACATGAGGTCAGCAGGGACACACGGGGTCATGGGGACACTTGTGGAATTAACAACATCTGAGTAAGTTCGTGGATTGCGTAGACTTGACTCTTGAAGACAGCAGTGGCCAAAATTATTATCAATAACAAAGCTAGGCGAATCGAGTTCCTGTTGGCGAATCTCTCATAATTCGCAAGCATAAATTGATTGATCTCTTTGCAATCCCTTTTTCTGCCCTTCAAGTCTGTTTCAGTCATCTCACTCTTTCCCGTCTTTCTCTCTGCTTTCATTTTCTTCTCCCGTTCTCTCTCAATTCCCTTGCCATTCCTATCATTCCCTTTCTCCATCTCCCTCCCCCATTCACTCACATTCTTATCATATCCGTCCTCCGTCCCGGAGACCGATATATCCTCGTCACTGATGGCCCCACTGCTGACACCCAGCTCTGACACAGGTCTGCACTGCAGGTTGGGCGCGAACCCGGGCCGACAGCCGCAGTGGTACGAGCCGGCAGTATTGGTACAGTTGGTAGAGGCCAGGTCACACTTGGCAGCAGCGCACTCGTTGATGTCTGGAACGTGGAAACGGAACGTGGATTTTAATTAGAAATCAAAGTAATGGAAGACAAGCAAGCTAGCAGAAATGGGAAATTAGACGGCCGAAAGGAGACTAAAAAGTTGAAATTATTGCCCGAATCGCTGTTAAATATCACCAGAATAAGCAATTGTTTAGCGTGCAAGCAAATAAAAAACATAAGTGAACAAGATAAAATGCTAAGAAATAAGCAAAATGATGACATCATTAATTTTATGGCCGCTGAAATATGTAGGAATGATACGCCGTTAAATAAAATAAATAGGCTAAGCATCCATTGCTTCGCAGCACCCATACACAGATACACGTAAGTATCAATTCATCAAAACCACTCGACTATTCCTTGTGATTGCCGCGTTTACCCACGTCTCTAACATAGGCCACTGTTCCCCACTACCACTCACCCTGGCACTCTGGCACATTGATGAACTGCTGCTCAGGCCCACAGGTGATGACTGCAGAGCCGGTCAGTCGGAAGCCGCGGTAGCACTGCACCGAGGCCTCGTCACCGTAGTAGTATTCGGCAGCGGGAGAGAGCACGTAGCCGTCGGAAATGGTGGGCAGGGCGGGGCACCGCACGCCTGGCGAAACGGGAAGGGAAACGGTCAATGGGGTCGGAATGGAGATTGAGAGAATTGGCTTCAACGGTGCCGTCTATCTTATGTCTATGGTCATGATGGTGACATACAAGCTACTGGCATTTTGCAACTGCTAACGTTTCTGACGTTTCTTTTCTAACGTTTTTAACGTTTCGAAAATAAATCTTATGCCATAATAAGTTCCCTTATAATTCCCCGACATTTAAATTCTCTAAGTATTTTTGAGATACCTTTTTCTGAAATTATATGTAATAAACGCACCAGAAAACCCTCAACAAGCATCGAGATTCGTAGGCTATCAAACTTACGAGAACAGCTGGGCACCTCGCTGCTCCAGGTGCCGTTGCTCATACAGAAGAGGACCGGGACACCGGAACGAACATATCCGGGCTCACACTCGTATCTGAGGACAGAGAGGTCGCAAATGAGTACAGACTTAAGAACAGTGATATCATGTAAATGGCAAGTGTCACACATGTTTTCAGAAGTAACAGTAGTTTTGCAGGTAAACGGATGCAAATTATAGTTGCGTACGCAACGGCTGATGTGACATTATGATTTGTTTTGTTGGGTTAGGCCCTTTCGGTCCAATGGGACCATTTCAGAGCCGGGAGGATGATAGGATATAGGGAGAGACATTGATCTGGGCAGGCACCCTATTGAGTCACCGGGGCTGAGCCCGTCCAGAGGACAGGCCACCCAGCCCCAAGGTACTCACTGCACCCGGCTACGGGGTGCGCTCCCTCGGGAGCAGCGGTGCCGCTCCAAGGGAGCAGCCCGCATGAGATAAAGTTGCCTGTCCAGCCCGGAGGGGGGTTGCGGCGTGGAGGAAAAGGATTTCAGTATCCTGAGGATAGAAGCACGGAACGGTGACATTAGGACGAGAACTAGAAACTAGAAATAAAGATCGAAAGCTATCCTTTTACGCATTAGTTAGCACCGTTTCGCAACGCAAGCATATTGTGTCGTCTTGATAGCTGCTGTAATTTCAACTACGTAATGGCAGAAGAAACGCATTGCAGCACCTTTCGCATTGTGCGCATAATGCTACGCAGTTCCTTCCGTGAGCCACAAATGTGTAGTTATGTAATGGTCGCATTAATCCCGAAGGCCCTATCGGCTATCAATGTTTACTGGCGTTGCGAATACGCGACTAAGACCGTTTCACCATGGGTAAATATTGAACATCGGATCAAAATTAATTCATAGGAGCGATAATATGTTCGGCGTTGTTTGCCAAACTTCAGAAGAAAACGTTACGCTAGCACTTTTTAAGTAACAAATTGACGATCGAGCGTTGCCTGGACATTTCTAAGTAGGGAGAGCTGACCTGACAACGGTGCCGTAGCTCCGTCCGCCTCCGTTGAGCTGTTTCTTCTGCGCGAACGGCACGTCCGGCAGCGACGGGCACTGGGAGGCTGGCACGATACGGGTTGTTGTTAGTTGAGCACACCTTCACACATGTGCGGGATGGTAAAACAATCATCAAAAACAAATATCAGTCTCGTTTTTGAAATCTATAGAGATCACATATACAGATCTAAAACTCGAATCTGTGCATGCCTGACGACGATATTACTTTCCATCACAAATGAAGCGCAATTTTTTCCAATCCGACGGGCCGCTATCGATTTGCGAGTATAAATGCAGCAAAGACCTTTCGTTACTTAAAGGGACTATCCCACCTTCTAAAATGTTGTTAAAACCAGTTAAATTGTGCCCGACTTTATAGATTGGATGACCAGGAACACGGTTCTGGCATTTATTTTTCATTAAACATCTTAGGCTTCCCATATTCCAAACACAAACTTTCAAATATGTGACGTCACAGCCCAAAATTACCTCTTTCCCCAGGCCACATTACTGTCATAAAGCTGATTCTTTTTATTCTGCAGGCACCACAACAAAGTTCAGACCAAGTTTTAAGCGATTTTTCAACGAACAAACCCATTTAAATCAGAATGACTAAACGAGGTGACGTCACACTAACGGTCGCTCCATGTTGAAGATAGGGCCTTGTACAAGGCCCATTTTCAAATGAAGGGAACGAATTTCTTCAACACCAAGAGGCCGCGGGGGTTGCAACCTAGATAGATAGTGGTTTCTGAACCTCGCCGCAAACTTGGCTATCTCAACTCAAACCCAATGTTAAAGGTGGGATAGTCCCTTTAAACAATCGTCATAAAATCGTTACTCGATGATCGCTAGTCATTAAATCGTTAGTAAGTTAAAATTAGATACATTAACTTACAAGCGATTTAACGACAAGCGATTAACGATAAATAATTTTATGACAATTGTTAAGTAGCGATAAACAAAAGGACTTTGCTGCATTTATGCTCTCAGCCTGTCTGCTCTTATAAGCTATTCCTTTCAGACCGAGATAGACGGTCAGTTTTCCCGGTCCTTACCCAGACAGACGGGCAGCTTTCCCCAGTTGCCGTCGGCCGAGCAGCTAATGGTTTCCAGGGGCTGGCCGGACGGGAACGCGAACCCGGCGTAACATTGGTACGTGATCTCTCCGCGGAAAGTGACGTTGGTCGCACCGATGGAGAAGCCGTTGTCGATTTGGGGCACCGGGCCACAGTAGACCTCTGTGGGAGACCGTAGTTAAGTAGTATTGGGACACATATGAGGGAATAGTAGTGAATACAACGATGAGATCTTCGATTGGAAGTATGCAATCTTGGGACACATAAGAGGCAGATTGGTTTACGTCCAACAGCTCGGTCAAAAATAAAATATGGTCAAACAAGGCTAGAAGAATGTGTATATTATAGACGTTTATTACGAATGTGCGAAAACCAGAGTCCTTGTACGAAACGGTGCATATTGCTGAGGAAATACATGTTGTTCCTCCTCTTACCATCAATCCTCTAATACCATAGCACACAACTATTCTGTCTTCCTTGTTATAATTACGCTCGGTAATGAAATATTTTGTCCAAGAATCGTAACAAAAATCACATTTTATCGCCTAAAACACACATCGCCATATATTATGAATGTCATTCCCATCCCTACCCCAAATCTAGTGCTATATCTGAAGCATAACACTATCTGTCATAGGTGATACATTTAAAAAAAACTCACCCTGGCAGTCGGGGATATAGCTGACGGTCCACTTGCCACCTGGCAAACACTCGGTCATGATCTTGGACTTGCCGGTGGCAAACTCCTGCCCCGCTGGGCAAGTGAAGGTCACCCGGGTGCCGAAGATGGTCTCACGGCTCGTACCGATGGCTCCCTTACCGGGCTCCAGCATCGGGCAGTCTGTAGAGGAGAGATGTAGGGGGTTGGTTATGTGAAAGCTGGCTGGGAGGGGCTGTAGTTGAGGCGAATCACTGATAGGCATGAATGTCTGAGATGAATGCCATGATTAATGGCAGCAATATCACGATCACCGAGACAGGGAAGGGCATTGTTGAGGTCGAACCTATTTTCTATCGTATTGTAGCAATAATTAATATTCAGATCATACATACAGCTATAGGCATCCGCCACCCTTTGCAAGTTGAAAATGGTTATTGTTGGCAATTATCATATTCCTCCATTCAAAAATATGAGAATATCAACTATTGCATGTCAATCCTGAAGCATGTGCATATGCATTAAAAAACTTCAGCAAAATTTTACGCCGGTCAATATACATATTCGGCACCCATACACCGTAATAAGTATACTACAGTCTCAGATCAGTCTCACTTCTACACGTCACCAAATCATTCAACATGTAATGATTATCCAACTCCCTCACCTGACGAGAACACGGCCTGGAATCCCTTGGCCGTTTTCAGCGGGTCCGAGTTAAACCTGACCAGCATCTGACCCGACTGAGCCGTCAGGGTTAGCTGGGGCGGAGAGGGACCTGTGAATCCGTCACCCGAGTGTAGGCGGAGACTGGAGCTGTCCGGGCCGTCATAGACCTGAGGACAAAACGGTGACATAAAGGGTAAACAAAGGTCGGAGGACGGTATGGATCAATTGGCGACAGGGAATATAAGAGTCAATGAATCGAGCTAATTCGCCACAAAGAGTTAAATGACGTCAAAATTCTAAAACTTATCAATGGACGCCACAGCCAAATAAAAGAGCGATGATGAGAAGGGGGAGGGGAGGGGGGGGGGCTCGACATAAACACGACACATGGCATTCAATCCTCATCAATTTTGCGATGCGTACTTAATGTCCGCGAATGGAGGCGGTGGACAAACACTAGCGCTACCTGTGTTCAACAGTAAACTTTGTCGTCCTCCGCCAGATGACAGGCAGCTCGGGGACCGAGACGATGCGAGTCATTGCGGTCCGATTGTGAACAAATCAGTGACAACTTTGATCGTCGAAAGATCTGTCCTCGCCATCCTCAGGATCGACACATACGCATCGCATCCCCCTCACGCTCCCTCTCTGGGCTGTCGGTCACCCCACCTGTCAACCGGTGGATGAGGCCGGTCCACACCAGGGCCTGTAAATCCTCTCCGGGGTGACCGTTTGGGAGGTGGGAGGACTGTCCCAATGGGGCAATCCGGTCCCATTGGGACGATTTCGCATCCACGAATCACTGTCGGTGTCCCGCACAGCCCAATGTCGACGCCCTTCCCTAGCCTCCCATAGCAATGGCCCTTTTAGGTCGAGAGCTCGCTCCCAACAAAACCCGACTAGACTAACCTGCACGGCGTCCGTCTCATCCAGGTTCAGATGTGTGAAGCGCAGACTCAGCGGACCCCCGGCCGGGCGCTGGATCAGGTAGTCACACTGCAAGTTGGTCGGATAGTCGGCCAAACCGTACACAGGCGAGTACACGCTACCGTTGTCTGCCTTCAGGGTCACGTCACAGCCTGCGGAGAAAAGTTAGAGCGTGAGATTGGCTTGCTAGGTCATAAGATGCAAAAACCTTATTCAAAATGAAAGGTGGGTTTATACACTATCCGATTTGCATTTGACGATTAAAATACTATCCACCGTTATAAAATAGTTATTACGGGTGTAGGTACAATGACATTATCCTGAATACGCCTATCCGATAGCAAACAACTGAGAATGCCTTGTTCAAGGCACAAACCATACACCTGTCAGAACTTCCCTAGCATTGGCAAAAGGCAACGCCCCAACTCCTGACAAGTGACAGCTCAACAATCTTATCATGGCAAAAAACTAGTATTCTCGTCATGGATTATGGATGGCATTTTATAGTCTTTCTTTTATTATAGTATTTCCTTTCCGTTATAGCCCCATCTTCCCACATCAACTCCTCGTCACACCGTACCTGCTCTGTACTTGATGCTGAAGCCCCTGCGGCTGTTGCCCAGGTCGGTCCTGACGTAGAGGTAGAGGACGTTCCCCGTGGAGGAAATGAACCGCCTCTCGGGGGCAGAGCCAGTCAGCCACGCCAGCTGACGGTCGTCCGGACTCGGCCCGTCACGGATACGGATGTAGTCGTTACCGGCCTCCAGGTCGAGGTCTTCGATCTGGGGAGAGTGGGTAGGGGAGGAGTTAGAAAGGAACGATTGGAAAGGCGATAGTGTATGATAGAAATAAGAAAACTTACTTATTGTTGCTAATACCTATTTATTACCAGCAACGACAGCTTTTGATATTCATTGCCTGCGATAAACATAAACAGGGATAGCATGTGACAACGTGGTGCAGAAGCATATAACTACTATCCACTATCCAGCCAGGTGAAAAAAGCTTGTCAGTAAAATGAAATTATATTTATTTATGTGCATTGTGCGATGACAGCAAAAAATAAAAATAAAAATAGATAAACGTAAGAAGGTTGAATACGACATATTTCAAAGTCCTAACGTCCGTAAGTTCACAATTGGGTAAGTCCCGACAATAATTTATAGCAGTAATACAGAAACCTATGTTCTGAACAGGCATGCTTCGTACCTGCAGTGTGATAATCTGTCCGAGCGGCGCGCTGATGATATAGAGACACTCGAGACCCCCGGGATAGTTCTCCGGGTAGCCGGGCGAGGTCAGGCGCTGGGGGGAGGCCGGAGCGACCAGGTCACCGCCGCACTGCTGTGGCTCCGACTTCCACGACGCCCTGAGGTCAGAGAGGTCAGCGGAGGTCAACAGAGCTTAACGGAGGACATGGTCAACAGAGTTCAACACAAGAGGTCAACAGAGATTAATCGGGTTCAGCGGAGGTCAGCATACGTAAGAAGAGGTCAGCATAGTTCAACAATGACAAATAACCAAAAATTTAAATGCAAGCACTTACATTATCAAGCTATCTTATCTTAATTTCCAACAAAAGCGGGACGTCTTCCGCGAATGAGTTTGCAGGAGTTATGGATGAGTCGTTGCAAACCAAGAGACTCAATCATTTCGAGACGAGAAACCCACCTGAAGCCAGATTTCTCCACGCTGGCGTCACTCCTGAACTTGATGATCATGAAGTTGGACGCGGAGGTGAAGAGCTTGGAGGCGAGGTCCTCCTGGCCGCTCAGGGTCATGATGTTGACGGCTGACTCCTCGGTGGCACCTCCGCTCAGGATCTGGGCGGTGTCAAAGTCTTTCTCCGTGTCGAAAGCAGAAAACTGCGGCGGAAGAAAAACAGTGATGAGTCAGACTTGGTGGGTGTTGGAAAAACAGACAGGCTCATACAGGAAATGGTCAATTTTAAAACATTTTCATTGTAATTTTCATATTACGTGTTAATTAGCGTTCGGTTTTAACAACGTGTGATGCTTTACCGAAAGCATCCTAAATGAATGCTCCGACGATGTCATTAAAACAGCCGGTACTGATCCATTAAAAAGACGTCATCAAAATAATCTAAATAGGTAATTGAATCTACTCGCAATCTTTCATTTTGATATAAAAATGTCGTATAATGCGCGACTGACCTGCAGTGTAATCCGGTGTCCAACAGGTGCCTCCAGGGTCCATTTGCACTCGCGGTTGGCCGGGTACCTTTCCGGGTATCCAGGAGACTCGATGGTACCAGACGACGAGCGCTGGTACTCTGTAATAAAACATCAGTCACACGTGAGACATAAAATGCGGATCAACTGGACTAGGTGAGCCAGTGTCGCCAGTGTTACGGCTATTTTTGTATTATGTAATCAGTGATGGTTACGTTCCCAGGCGATGGTTAGCAGGCGATTGCCGCATCAGCCATTGATGTGTTTTCCATTTGAAGTTTCCTCGATACTTTTCTGAGATGGGTGAAATGATGGTTTTCCTGGAGTGATTGTCGAGTGGATTGTTTTTGCCAGAGAACGTTCACTAAGTGGGTAGATGCACCCCTAGGTACTGTCACTTGTAGTTTATTTGGAGTGGAATCGTGAGTTGGCCGACGAGCGGAATTATGAATTGACAACGTGACACAGAGAATTGACATAACTCATAAGAGTCCTGTCTGACAAACCTTACCGCGACATATATAAGTGGCATATATGTTTTAACAGGTGTCGTAGGTATATGTTATGAGAGTCCTCATCGTTACACATAAAGCTGTGATCTATATCCTGACAGTCCTCATAATAACATTGACAACTGTCATGCCCTCACATGACACATGTATTGTCTATATCAGGGGTCGGCAAATGGTGGGGAATGCCCCCTTTGGGGGTAATGGAGCCCTTTCGGTGGGGGTAATGAGGGATTCTGAGAAAGCCTATCTTTTTAGAGTTTGTAGCTCCAGTGATGGAGCCATCGTGACTGTTGCATCCCAAGGTTCAAAGATTAGCCCAGGCCAAAGGCACAGCACACATTGATTAAATACCAATTTTCATGTATATACCTGCTCGCCTCACCATCTCACCCCTCCGTGCAGTCGTACAAAAGCAGCTGCAACTTTTAACCGTCGCCCGTCTGTTGGCGTTTTAACAGCCGCTTACGTAAGGGGGAGGAGTCGATCGGACCCCCGCGGCCTCTCGGACTCTGAGATGGAGCTGTACATAAAAAAGACGAGCGTGCTACCCGTGACAATAGGAAGCCGCTGCTGCCCATTTTTAAGGTCCTTGGTCATTCCGTCTCATTCAAGAGGGTAATGACAAGTGTCGAGAAAATCGGGACCCGCTATAACTTCTTGAAGTGAGATTTTATGGCTCAAGATGATCTCCAGAAAAAGCTCATAAGCCAACGGTCATTATGGGTCCAGAGGCCACTTTCACCAACAGAAAAATAGCCGCCTGCCGGAATTTTTTGCCTAAAGATCGTTTCACAAATGGAGCGTAAACGGTAAAGCCCTATCCGCTTACGAGCCCATCGCGTTTACATCGCGATACACAAATACCCAAAGAGTTCCAGGACGGTATGGAATTTCAGTAAACTTGGTTGTGTCAGCAATGGGGTCTGGTAGGTGGGGGTAATGGCCCTGCCTGGCGCCCAAAAAGGGGGCACGACCCCGAATGACCTGCCGACCACTGGTCTATATGTCCTGACAGTTTCTTACCGTGACAGGGAGAAGTATCCTGACAGTCGCTCTCATCACTCATGTCACCACAATCATCTTCGCCGTCGCACTTGAAGGCGCCATTGACGCAGTTGCCGTTAGCGCAGTGGAAGTGTCCTGGGAGCAAAGGCAAACAAGAGTCAGGAACCGTAGTCCTTTTTTACCTTCCATGAGGATTGAGGATGCATCACACGGTGTTTACTTCCGGTCCCAAAATGGGTCACGATGTTGAAGGAAAACATTTGTTACTGTCCGTACCAAAGAGTAAATGTGATAAATATAGTAGCATCTTTGCTGGTTACATTAAACGTATATTTGATCATAATCTAGGTAACATCAATTATATCGAAGAAGAACATGAGCAAGAACAGGATACGACACGGAAACAAGTAACGCTTTAGCTCAATGCACACATGTCAGTCAAGTCATTTTTACTTGCAAGTTTACGAGAGCGGAAAATCGGTAGGTGCTAAAATTTCACTAGAAACTATAACACGAAGGAAACTATCGTGCAGCATGATTAAAAACTAGCTGCATCCAACGCTCCTCTGCAACACGACTTGCATGCATGTCAATACGGGCCACCGAGCCGTTATTCCGTGCTGAAATCTCACCCTTGAGGCAGGCGGTGGCACGGCACATGAATGGTAGCAGCTGCTCGCAGGTGGTCAGGGCCCAGCTCTGTTCCGAATCGGTGAACCTAGCCCGAACACACTCGCCCAGCTCAGCACGCGGGTTACCCTGCCGGAAATGGGAGAGGTCAAGACGAAGAAGAAGTCAAGAAAAGTCAAGATGGGGAAATCCAAGCTCAATGATGGTAAAGTTAAGCTCCTAAACCTTTTAGTTAGAAACACATTTCATGATAACTTCAGAAAAAATCACAGTTCCGCGTATTGAGCTCAGCAACAGCGATCAGCGTGAAAGCGAACAAAATAAATGTGTAGTTACCTCTTAGCAGCATCATAAAAGCGTATAAAACAATTTGTGTTTACTACCAGTTTGCGACAGCTTAACTTTCGCCAGTACTTTCGAATCCCATAAACGACACTTTGTAAAAGCAGGCGCCGTCTCCAAATCCCTCATGAGTTGCTCTCTGAACCTCGGAGAGATCGTCCGACGGCTCAAAATCCCCGCTGGTTATGAGCTCGAGACATTGAGCTGATGTTGAGCCACCGTCAAGCCACCCCAAAGCCTTTGAGCCGCCAGCAAGCCACTCACCCGGTCCCAAAAGCCGATATACTGGCTCTGCAGAGTGCCGGCCGCTGTCTCCAAGCTGTTGGTGCTGAGGTCGTCCAGAGTTCGGAAACCAAGCCAGTAGCGATCGCGGTCGCCATCTTCGGCGTTCTCGTCAGCTAGGTGACGGGTGAAGTTGTTCTGGTCATAGGTTTGAACGACGACTAGGTGAGAGCCATATCTGGAATGCAAGAATGAGGTGTGTCAAGGCTGGGTGTGTCACTTTGCAGGTCACTCGTGCAGGGGTGGGGGTGCTTCTGATAGCTGATAAAAGACTGCTGACTTCTGACTTTTCAAGTCGGTTACCTAGATGAAACACTGGCTCTTGTTTGACTTCATTGTCTCATTAATATTCTACGCCGTCAACAATACCAACAATATCAATGCCTTAGGTATGTCAGCCGTATCTGGGAAGCTGTTGTCTCATAAGTGACAGTCATCCTTCATTGTTGTAATTCGTGCAGCTGCGATGATGCTGAAAAATGTGTAGCTGCATCGTTTATGCATGCATTGGACGAGCTTATAAATGCATCCCTATGGATGTGATGCTCAACTAGGGGTCGGTAACTCTACATCAGCGTAAGCAATAACACTGATGAGTTTAAATTTAATCTATTTAGGCATGTTTTATTTTTAAGTTGTTTACTTCACACGCAAAGCCCCATTTTCACCGTAATCCGTGATTTCCCGATGTTGGCCAAACCACAGCTCAGGTGCCATATAGGCCAGGCGTCTCGCGTTGTGCACATCACGGGACCAGCGGGACCACCTCCCCACGGTGGCCGCGGCGGCGGCGGGCGCGGCCGCCGCGGTCACGTGACCGACTCCGGTACCATCCGGCGCCAGGCGACCCATGTGACGTCATCAGAGGCCTCAGGGTCGGCGACTTCCGTCTGCTGACCAAGCCAGGGCCGCCGGCTGGCTGGCGACGCCCACTCGCCCACCCCTTCTCTCGAGTGGAATGGAATGGAAAGGCCGGTGCTCGGGTAATAATCGAGATTGACTGAAACGTCGTGAAAGATTAACTTTGGGGCTACGGGCAGTGAAACATTGGGTAGGCGTTACGTCGGGGAAAATATTTAGCGACTCTTGAGCAAGCAGGTAGTAAAAAATATAATCAAATCGAGGGCTTCAAGGTGAATATGAAAAATACTAAGAAATAATAATTTTAAGAGTTCGTCGATGGCAGTCTGACCGATTTTAGTGCCCAAAGACGAATACCTTTGGTGCTGTATATTATGTAATCTCTACTTAAAATCAAAATCATTTTTGGTCACATTTAAGCACTACAGGACTGTGGCGCACAAAACACATCCCGATTGGCATTCAGAACGTTCTCAAAGCACTTCTCCACGTGAAATACTGACATAACTTTCAGGAGAGAAGCTAAATGCCCAATCCCTGTGTAACCTTTTCCGATTAAATCCCATTGCGGCTCGCTCTCCAACACTACGAAATCTCTCTGAAAGCACTCTCAAGCACTCTCATCGCCTCGGGCACGGGCCCGGGGCTCCGATTGAACTCTCGTTCGGTCTCGATTGGTTCTGTCCCTCCCACGAATTCGTGCACGCCGGTCCGTTTCTCTCCTAGCTAGCTTCTCACGCCTCCTCTCGACTGTGGAGGCCCGGAATGGGGTCAGCCCGAGATAGACGGCGCCACGGCGCTGCTGCCATGACCTGACACGCACAAGAAAGGCCAACTTTCGCGCGAGGCAGCGCTCGAGCGTAAAAAGATTGGATAGCTATGGCCAAACAGAAAGGAATAAATATTGAAATAATACCTACTACAAAACGTAATGGATAGAGGATAACAACCTCCCAAATATTTCTACTTGGATCATAAAGGCATCATATAGATCGGAAACGTATTCTAAAGCATCAGACTCACACCATTACCGAGCAAAAACTATGGCGGCTGCGTGCAAAAACATCCTCGCGACCCCTCACGTCTCTCTCAAATCTCACCGGTGCCTCCTCAGGACCCGGCGAGACATCTCCTCTAGCCTCACATTCCGTCCGCCAGAGGCGCCACCGTCGGAGGCATCTCTCCTACCCGGCTGGGTCAGCGGTGTTCGTCCCTGGTCCGACTGCAGCGAGCGCCCCCGGTCTACCTCACCGTTATTCCCGGGGTCCAGAGCTGGCAGCGAGCCAACGCCGGCCGGCGCACAGTGGGTAACTGCGGCGCAGACGAGCGAAGACGTGCGATTTGCTGGACGGGCGGGGAGTTTGGTGGGGAGGAGTGAAAAAGGCTGGACTTAACAAAGTGCCGAAGTATGTACCAAAGTCGCTATCAGCTGAATATGTCAGGCATCAGGAAAGATGACGTGTTTGGTGTAGTGTAAAAAACGACAATCTGCGCATGCATCACAAAAACAATTACCGGCGCTCAAGGTGTTATGTAATGTATGTCAGTAGAGAACTGATCATTGATATGTGCTTAACTGAACTTAGCACCACGCTAGCCAAACCGGGGCCTCGTGAAACCTGCAGTGTATTTTATTGCATTGTGTTTGTAATTTGCCAAGTATGAATCGGCGGTTCCTACCAACTCGCGTGCTGTGTTCGTGTGGTTGATGTAGCCTGATAGATTCGGTCGTGTGTTTGGACGCGAACCGGCCCATGCTTTATAAATGGACAGTCGAGAATGACTCACCCCTGGATGCTGACGATATTGCTTTTAGGGGCGAGACAAAACATTCTTGGAATTACATGTGGATTGCGAAGCCTCTGCCAAGAAACAAATGGACAATAACGAGACATGCTTTTTTTAGTTCAGAGGTGTTTAAGTGTTTGTGTATAAATCATTTTATGATAACCGAAGAAGAGCAAATAGATTTACACACACAACGAGCTTCGTATTGAAGCCCTCTAGGAAAATAATGGACAAATCTTGAAGAATGTTCAGACATACTTTTTGAGCCACGACACCATTATTGAATATGTATCAAGCATTGGCATTTTCCCTACAAAAAGACTCGTAACCCGCACGCATCCACTACAATACCCTGAAAACTCAGCCCTACTTCCTCAAGAAAAAAGCCGTTGCTGCCATCAACATTGCAGCCCAACAAACAACTCTCATGACTCGCCACAACAACCGTGCGCCGTCCACCGCCGAACCAACTCGATTCCGTGAGAATCCAGCCAATCACACAGGCGGCAGCGTCCGGAAAATTGTGTGAAGCCCGCCGCGTTCCCGCATCGGTGACCGGCTGCCCGCCGTCACCCGTTGTAGAGAGGACACAACGGTATTGGTCGGGACATGAGGCCCGGACAGGCTACTCAGCTGTCGTGAGGTCCGTAGCGATTGAGGTCGATGCTGTGCTGATTCACAGGGTTCAAGTGATTCACATAATTCGGAACATACCAGCAATCTGAGTAAATTTTGTTAGTGGGGATTTTTAAATATGATTTTATGTTTTAATGATTTGGTATGCGAAATACTTCAATGTTGCAAACTTTGTGATTTTAGGATACCAAGACTTCAGAGGTCATCCGTGGTTGTAATGTTTCATGGGTAGGTAATGCGTCACTCTATATCTTCTTTTATTTTCAGTATAGACTGGTTGAATTGATTCTCGCCGTTTTATTTTAAATTCTTAACAAAAATAATGACAGTACCTAATCGAAAGGGATACGCGGAACCTCTGATAAACTTCAACGAGTAGTGCTATCACTTACATCCACAGTGACGTCACTAACACCTGTATATGACGTCACCGGCACCTGAGGCGGCGGTGTGCCGGTCGGCGTTTTGGGGTCAGCCAGCCACGTGCCTTAGCCGCTGTTCTGTAGCCGTATCGGTGTGTCTAGCCACAGCCAGGCGGGCGGCGCCGAGTGGGCCGCGCAAAGCTGTGTGACCGGTCGGCGGTCGCTGACCGAACCACACGGACGGTCTGCCGGTCGGTCGGTCGACAGACTCGCAAACTAGTCAGGATTGCATACTGCACGGGCGGAACCGGAATCGTACAGGACAGTAGGGTATATGCGTTGAAATGGCAAGGCGTGAGAACCACAAAATTAACGGGAGAGACTGGAAAGTCAGAGCCCCAGGACCGGAATGGTAGGTCAGCTAGGACTACAAATTATACTAACGTGACCAGCTTGATGAACCAAGATAGCAAACTGCAAGATCTCAAGATCTGCACCACCAAGACGAAGCATGCCAACCAGGAGCGGCGGCGCATTCTAAGACATGATGACTACCTACTCGGAGGGTAGAATGTCTAGCCCCAGGAGCGATGTAGCGCCTGACACACTGGCAGAACCGGTCTTGCTCTCTGAGAAATACCAGGGGATCGAGGCCATGGGTGAGGTGTGCAGACGCTCACAGAGAGATGCCACTGCAGGGAGGTCACAGCGAGACAACGGGAGTAGGCTGGGGTGATTACGAGACACCGGGGAACTTATTCTAACGGTGCTCAGCTCGGAAGGAATGGAGGGTAGCTAGCAACACAAAGGTCGGATAGACCGCCAGAGGGTTATTATAAAATACGAGAACAAATGTTTAATCATCATAATGGGTGACTAAAGCCAAAGAGCATTGCAATAGATAATATGGATGCCTACTAAAAAATAAGGTAAAAGAGAGCAGACTAAGATGGGAAAGAAAAAGAAGAGGATGAATAAACGCGTTAATAAATCAATGCGTGGAAAAATATAAATGTAGGTATACGTAGGATATATGCAAATGTCAACAAGTATGATTCTAAAAGCGGTACATTGCATCCAGGAGATCCGTATAAGCATAAACTTCAACATTGCTTTAAAAAAAGTCAGGAAGCCCGGCTCGCGGCGGCAGACAGGAAGTGAGAACCCGTGGTGCCAAGGCGATCCGGGCTCATAATGGCCAAATGCTGGACCACTAAGACAGCCACAGAACTGGTCAGCTCGACTCCAACTAACACGGGAACGGGGCCGGGTGTACCGGTTGTGAGTCTGCATCCGGATTGCGAACGGCGTTAAACACGTCGCGTGTTGGTGGAACGGTGGGGTTGTCGGAGACTGGAGAAATTGTGGAGGACTGGTCGTATAGTGATTGTACTGGTCATACTGCATTCAGGCTGCGAACAATACCTACTTCGGGAAATTTTTAACTTAATTCTTATGATGTTAGTAATTATGATGCTGGTAGGACTGAACAAACCACGACAGTTTAGCGGTTTCATTAGGAATTCGTTAT